CTTGATTTATAAAGATGGCAGTAGAACTTGGTGTTATAGCTGTTGCAGATGCTTCACTTGGAGGAAAGTAGATGATGTTGTCCAACTCGTCGAAACTGAGCTGATTGGTTGATCACTCTGAACTCCCGGACATGTAGATTAAATCTCAAACTTGATATTTGAGAAATTTGGAGTGGATTGTGACAGCATGGAGAAGCCAAAATTGCCAGTGAAATAAATTGGAGTTGCTGAAGTAAAATGTCGGCTTTGAAGCGAAGACGAAAATAATAACTCCCAGAGTTGACTCGTTGGTTGATTAATTAATTGCTTCGGTTTGTCGAATTTTGAGTCTTGTATCTGTGTAGCACCCGACTCTTTAGTTAGTTGAGAAACAACTGAACATAGAGTCAAGAACTGTAGCTTGTAGTCGAGTAGCCATCTCTTGAGTGAATATATGCGTTGAGGATGTCTAAGTAAAAATCTTGAAAATTGGAGAACCACTTGTTGTAGTAGAATAGCATGGCGTTGAATCTGGAATTGAATGCCGAGATGTCGAGGCTCATGTAGACATCGTGGTTGGTGAAGTAGCAAAACTTGCAAAGTAGCGGCAATTGAGTTTGCGGGTCCAGAAGACAATGTAGATGAAGTCGCTCCACCATGGTGACAAAGTTGAATAGTCGTGATGAAGTGAATACAAGTTAGTGGCAACAGAAGCAAACCGGTAGCGAAGACGTGTAGTTGTGAAGATAGATACTCCAGTCGGTTGAGTGGCAACATAATAGGCTAGCCATGAAAGCGAAGACACCATGGGCGGCGGCGAAGGCAAACCGGCGATGACGATGACGCCAGTCAATGATGACAAAGACGCACAGCGTGGAGGCGAACAAGCCAGTCGACGTCAGACAAAGCGGCCAGTAATGAAGATGATGTTGTCCATCAGTAGTGGTAGCAGCATAAATGAGCCGTAGAGGCGAGGACACCAGTCAACAGCAGACGAGACGACCGGCGGTGAAGACGATAAAGCCAATCAACAGTGGTAGAATCATGTAGCCATGGAAGTGAAAAAACCAGTCGGCAGCAGACGTAGACAGCTTGCGTTGAAGATGATGATGCCTATTAGCGGTGGCGGCGACATGGCCAACCGTGAAGACGATAGCACCAGTAGGCATCATACGAGGCAGCCGGTCAGTGAAGATGTAGACGTCCAACAACGGCAACATAATAGGCCAGCCGTGCAGGCAGAAACACCAGTCGGCGGCGAACGAGGCGGTCGGTCGGTGAAGACGTAGACACCCAACAACGGCAGCATAATAGGCCAGCCGTGCAGGCGGAGACACCAGTCGGCGGCGGTGAAGGCAAGCCGGTGGTGAAGACGTAGACGCCCAACAATGGTGGTGTGACCAACCAACTATATAGGCGAAGACACCAGTTGGCGGCGGACGAGGCGGCCGGTCGGTGAAGACAACGACGCCCAACAACGGTGGTGTGACCACCCAACCGTATAGGCGAGGACACCAGTCGGCGGCGACGACGGCAAGCCGGTGGTGATGTTCTGACTGATCCATTCTTGGAGCGTAGGAGATAAAGCCATGAATCCCTTTTATGCATATCTAGATCTGGATCCTGCAGAACAAACATATAGGATGAGTAGTATCTGATATAAATATAATACTCAAGGAAAATTCAAGTATTTTAAAATATATTTATAAATATGTATTGCTCCTCTTATCAATTTTGATTTCCCCGAGCGGATGACTCCTTACATTTAAACACTATGCCCGACTAGTCATAGCCCCCAAGCACTGGGAGTCGGCCTAGTCACTTCCCAAACATGCATACGAGTGACATGAGTTCGTCATTAATGGAACAAAGTTTCACGGATCAGAGTTTACTACTCGGGTACTTTTGCAATTGTTAAGAGCGGAAAATAGATTCATCTTATCTCTATGCTTTTGATTTATTCCGAATAATACTTAGCACCTTGCGTTACTCGGTCCATCCAACGAGCCCCCGGGTGCTAGGAATCGGCCCAAAGGCAACTATCCATCGACAAACCAAACGGAAAGCATAGGAAGATAGAACTCCATAACTCGATAGGCACTTTTGTACTCAGATTATATCGCAAGCAATCAAGATAAATATTTTGAAATTTGTTGAAAAAATGTGATATAACATCTGTAGCCCCCGACTCACTACTCAATAGGGAACCAATTGATGTAGTGAGGCAGAGGAAAAGGAAAATATCATATAAAGAAAATTAATGATGACTTAGCTTTTTTATATTCCCTCGATGACAGCAGAAGTAGCCGATGTGGGAACGAAGTAGTCCATCAACGGTGATGAAAACACCAACCGTGTAAGCAGCTGAGGCGATCGACGGTATAGGTAAATAAATGCCCATCAACGGTGGTGTGACCACCAACTGTGGAGACGAAAACACCGGTCAGCGGTGGCGAAGGTGAACCGGCGGTGAAAATGTGAATGCCATAAACGGTGGTGTAACCAACCAACCGTATAGGTGAGGACACCAGTCGGTGGCGACAGAGGCAGGCCGGTGGTGAAGTCGTAGGCGCCCAACAACGGCGGCATAATAGGCCAGCCGTGTAGGCGGAGACACCAGTCGGCGGCGGCAAAGGCAAGCCAGTCGGTGAAGATGTGAACGCCCATGAACGGTGGTGTGACCAACCAACCGTATAGGCAAGGACACCAGTTGGAGGCGACAGATGCAGGCCGGCAGTGAAGTCGTGGACGCCCATGAACGGTGGTGTGACCAACCAACCGTATAGGCGAGGACACCAGTCGGCGGCGACGGAGGCAGGACGGCGGTGAAGTCGTAGAAGCCCAACAACGGCGGCATAATAGGCCAGCCGTGCAGGCGGAAACACAAGTCGGCGGCGGCGAAGGCCAGCCGGTTGGTGAAGATGTGAATGCCCATGAACGGTGGTGTAACCAACCAACCGTATAGGCGAGGACACCAGTCGGCGGCGACAGAGGCAGGCCGGCGGTGAAGTCATAGATGCCCAACAACCGCGGCAAAATAGGCCAGCCGTGTAGGCGGAGACACCAGTCGGCGGCGATGAAGGCAGGCCAGCGGCCAATGAGGTATGGATGATGATACATGCAAAAACAAAAAGTTACAAACATCAACATGTGGTTAGAGATTTGAAAGAGAAAATAATTGATATATAATTAACAGATCCAAACACATGGCTTGATTTGCAACTTGATGGAGAGGCTCTTATGACCATAATAAGCACTAAAGCACATGCACGATTGCATGTAGCCTATTGGCTCCTCCTGATTGGCCGGCCAGTCGGCCAGATTGCCATGCAAAACAAGAGTGATTAGGACTAGGGAAGTATAGAAGATATAGATGATTAAGGATATTAATCGATGCATGTTGTCTGCTATTTCATCGATTTGCAGAAGAAGTCGACGTCGGCCAGCTTGCCAGGGGTGATTAATTAAAAAAAATTAACCATCACCAAATATGTGTATCTGGCCCTGTAGCCGATGGCTAGCTTGATGGTCCTTCAGCACGACGCCGTCATCGGAGGTAGCCGGCGGATCTCATTAATAGAAGATCACGCGGACACGACATGAAGGTGAGCCGGTGACAACGGTTGATCTCAACAATCATGCATAAGGTAAACACAAAAGATACCCAGAGTTTAATCTGCGATTAATCAATCTAATGACGACAAATCAGATTAAAACAGACAAATCGGGATTGAAGATTCAAGCCATCGAACTCAATTAGATTGATCTCAGCATTTGTTCTGAAGTTGATTCCATCGCACTTATCAATGGGAAACTCGACGCTCCCCTACCTGGCGCGCCAACTATCGAAACATGAATTCGGCAATAATAAAAGGGGTAGCACACGAGACCTAAAAGTGGATGGATGTGGAGATAAGGATTTAGGGCAGTCCCAACCCTCCACCTATGATGGTGTCTATGGCATTAACTACATTGTCATGTAGGACTTTTAGCTTATATGGCACTATATTAATTAAGAGAGAGAGTGAAGAGAGGAAGAAACTGGGTCTCATGCAAGACACAGCTTCAACACGAGAACCTATGCACTAGACACTATCAAGTTTTGTATTGGGAAAGAATAGTGTCGTCATGATAGATGAAGAATAAATATGATTGGTAGAGAAGAGAGATGATGTATTTCTTAATGGCCCACTTTAAGAAACCATGGGTTGTAGAGTGTAATTTTTATTGTGATGTCTTATTGACATGGCACCATAGACACTGCTTATGGACACTATGGGTTGGGACTGCTCTTAGACAGGTTCATGCCCTCTCAATGAAAGGTAATACCCTACTCCTGTTTGGGGATTTGAATCCGCCAGATGTAGTATTGATCTGACGATCAGGTGTGTTCATGCTCCCTAGAGGGCCTCCTGCCCACCTTATATAGGATGGGGGGCAGGATTACAAGATAGAAATCTTAACCAATACGGTATCAGTTTCCTAAATCTACTTTACAATCTTATCAAACCAGGACTTTAGGTCGTTCCATAATATACAGGGAAACGTAATACTTAAGTCATGATTCGTTACATATTCCATAGATATAAGTTATCCCTTATAACCAGTCGGATAACCATGCCGTATGGGTATGGGGTACCCATAATCTCCACAGCCAGCTCAACTCCATTATCACGATATCGCCACGTTATCGCACTTTCTAGTTGCGAACCTCGGTATCGCTCTTTCAACCAGCGATACCAATGATATATTTGTGCAAAACCTTCACAATCCGGTATATTTTTGCAAAATAAATAGATGAACAGTATATTTTCAAAAAAATTTCAAGACTTACATGCGCACAGGAGAAGATAAAAGAATGGAGAGAACACAAACTGATCGTGCATGCTCGTGTGAAAGATCGATTATTTGATGAAGCAGTGTGCTATTGATAAATTTATAGGAAGAACACCGGCCCTTAAATAGCAGGCCCGATGAGAAGAGGACAAGGCCCATTTTACATCTTTCTCCCCTTTCCTCGGCTTGGATCTTTGATTTTTTATTTCTTTTTTGGCTAAAATTCGGTGAGATTAATAGTTTCGTCGCGGAAGGCCGAAACCCTAGCAAGCCACCCCAAATTCGATTCGATTCGATAAGATTAAGAAGGCTAGCCCGATCCAAGAAGAGAAGGAAGAAGCGATGTCGTCGTCTCGGAACCCTAATCCTCCTCCCGGATCCTCCTCCTCGGGGACCAATTACTTCCCTCTCCCCTTCCATCTGCAGCAGCAACCGCCGCAGCCGCCGCCGATGGCGATGGCGAGCACCTACCAGTACCAGCAGTACCAGCAGCTGCAGCAGGCGCAGCAGCTCTTCCAACGCGACGCGCAGACCATCACCCCCGAGGCGCTCGAGAGCGTCAAGGCCGCCCTCGCCACCAGCGACGTCCTCGACCCCGCCAATGCCAGAGCCACCGCAACCTCCTCCTCCGACCCTGCCGCCAAGAAGAAAGCCATCCCCCGCCGCGCCGCCGGCCAATCCTGGGAGGATCCCACCCTCACCGACTGGCCCGACAGTATGTCATGCTCCTAACTTTCTAATTTATTTATGCTATTGATTTTTCTTTTGGATCTATCTCATCGTGTAAATATTTACAGATGACTATCGCTTATTTTGTGGAGATCTGGGCAATGAAGTCAATGACGACGTCCTCTCAAAAGCTTTTTCACGGTTCCCCTCCTTCAACATGGCAAGGGTATGGAAAAGTTTCGACATACTCTCTACTTCCACTCCAAGATCAAGGACATTAAGCTAGCTGGGGGTTTTGAAAATTTACCTGAGGTAGCCTTAACTGTAGCGCAGGTCCTTTTGGGTTTTTTTCATTTATTTTTACTCCAAGTATTGTGCGTGGTTAGTGTCCTATGTCCAGATTTATTGGCATACTGGTTCTACCCTTTATGATGTCATACTTAAATAATGGCTTTGCATTGGTTGTCACTTTTAATGTTTGATCCATGTATGCTGTATAATGTATTCCCTTCCCAACAAATTCATAGGATATTGCAAGGGTTTAGGAGGAGCATTTGACATATATCTACTTTAGATAGGATGTCCAGAAAAAAAAAAGCCTGATAATTTTGCCAAACAGATATATGATAAAATGCAATTGTGAATATTGGAGCATGTTTAACACCCTCCAACTATAATAACTAGCTCAACCCTTCGCCCAAAATCCCTCTTCCCTCCCTCCCTGTGTTTGTTATGTTTTCTTATGTACACAGTAGTACTTATTGGTATTTCTTGAGGCTGGCCATAATTTGTACTTTTACCCTTTCTTTCAGGTTGTTCGAGATAAGAGAACTGGCAAAACAAAAGGATATGGATTTGTGAGCTTTTCAAACCCTACTGACCTTGCTGGAGCAATTAAAGAAATGAATGGTTTGAAGTACCCAACTTGTTCAATTACTGCCATTGTTCAGCTTCGTTTTTGTACTGCTACCTTATTACTTTTGACACTATTGCAGGGAAGTATGTTGGGAACCGCCCTATTAAATTGCGTAAAAGCAATTGGAAAGAGAGGACCGATGTTGATGCTCTAGAAAGACAGAAGGTTTGTGTCATTTTTCTTTCTTTGATCCAGTGTATCGCTCCCTTCGTATGCTTACCTTTGTTAGTACATTTGTCTTTCAGAATCACATCCAGAAGAAACCTAAAATGCCCAAGAAAAGTATCCTTCACAAGTAAAGCTATATTAGCCCTACTAAGCGCCATCCATGTAAACAGTAAGTTCCTTTATCAATATACATGCTAAGCTTTTGACTAAAAACAACTGGTGCTCTGGAAGTACAGACTGACATCTATTCTCTTACATTCCCTTAGCCAAATACTGGCTGTATTCTCTTGGCACATCATCTTTTGTCATGTGGGGCCAGACATACACACGCCGCAGGAGGGCGCGTGACATCCGCCGAGCGGCGGAGCGCGCAGCAGCACGCGAGGGAAACGCGCGCGACGCAGCTGCGCCCGCGCCCGCGATCACCGCGGCTGTAGATGGAAGTGGCTAGGAGAGATTTTAGGAATAAGTTGTTTCCTAGTTTGTTGGCCAATTGGGCCATATATTTCCCTGTACTTGGACAATTGAGGATTAATCAAGAATTACCACCTAATCTCTCCTCTACCTCACGTAAGCCACCGGTCTGAGGGGGATAACCTCGCGGTGAAGGACTGGAGCGCGACTACGAGCTCCGTAGTCGCGGTCCGCCGTCGTTGGGCGTCAAGGCGCTTGACAACCTGGTATCGGTGTCTCGTCGATCCACTTCTTCATCCACCGCCGCCCCTCCAGCCTCCACCACAGCAGCCGCCGGCCCCTCCTCTCCCACCACCAGCCCCTGCACCAGCCCTCCACCATCCCCTGTTTCGTCGTCCGTCGCCTCCACTGCCGGCGACATGTCTGAGCACGGCGACCTCAAGGCTGCCATCGACGCCCTCACCAAGAATGTGGCGCTCATGCAGTCGTCCATTCAGGCCAACGCCAAGGCCATCGCCGACATCACTTCCTCATCGTCCGGCGCCGGACCTCGGTCCCACTCCGGCGAGCACCCTCAGGATCGTCCACCGAAGCACTGGCGCCCGGAGTTCCCGCGCTATGACGGCAAGACCGATCCGCTCATCTTCATCAACAAATGCGAATCCTTCTTCCTGCAGCAGCGCATCATGCCGGAGGAACGCGTTTGGATGGCGTCATACAACCTCAACGACGTCGCCCAATTGTGGTACATGCAGGTGCAGGAGGACGAGGGCACTCCGAATTGGCCGCGCTTCAAGGACCTCCTCAACCTGAGGTTTGGTCCCCCGCTCCGCTCGGCGCCCCTCTTCGAGCTCTCGTCCTGCCGCCGCACCGGGACGGTGACGGAGTACCAGGACCAGTGGCAGGCGCTGCTGCCCCGCGCCGGCAAGCTGGATGAAGCCCAGCGCATCCAGCTGTTCACCGGGGGTCTCCAGCCACCGCTCAGCCTGCAGGTCCAAATGCAGAACCCGCAGTCCCTCGCCTCCGCCATGAGCCTGGCCAGGCAGTTCGAGCTACTGGCTGAGTACACGGGCCCTCCAGCCCCTGCTGCACCAGCCCGGGCTCCCGCGCGTGGGCTGCTGGGCGCGTCGCTGCCGCTGCTGGCCCTGCCGGCGCCTCCACCTCCAGCCGCGCGCGCACCGGCGGCCGCGAACCCGGCTGCGAACGCGGGGGCTGCAAACCCGGGGGACGGCCGCCAGGCCAAGCGGCTCTCCCGGGAGGAGCAGGCGGAGCGCCGCCGATTGGGCCTCTGCTACAACTGCAACGAACCGTACAGCAGAGGCCACAATCGCGTCTGCCGGCGCATCTTCCACATCGCCGGCGTGGAACTCGACGACGACGACAACGCTGGCCACGAGGAGCCGGCCACCGAGTCGCCGGTCTTCTCCCTGCACGCAGTCGCTGGCGTAGCCGCCCTCATCGCCCTCCTCGACGTTAGCCTGGGGCGCGCCGCCCTCATCGCCCTCCTCGACAGTGGTTCCACCCACAATTTCATCTCGGCCGGGGCAGCCGAGCGCACCGGGCTCGTGGTGGAGCCCCGACCTCGGCTCACAGCGGTCGTGGCTAATGGCGAGCGGGTGTCCTGCCCCGGCGTCATCCGTGCGGCGCCGGTCTCCATCGACGGCACCATCTTTCACATCGACCTCTTTGTTATGCCGCTTGCAGGTTATGATGTGGTGCTCGGCACTCAATGGATGGCCACCCTTGGCCCCATCGTGTGGGATTTTGCCGCTCCGTCCATGGCGTTCCAGCTCTGGGGGCGCTCCTTCCACTGGACCGGGGTGCTGGCCGACCATGCGCCGCGCCTCCACTCTACGGCGGCCAGCACATCCCTCCTCGACGAGCTGCTGGCCACCTTCGACGACGTCTTCGCCGAGCCCACAGGCTCCCTCCACCGCGCGCACGCGACCACCACATCATCCTCCAGCCGGACGCGGCGCCGGTGGCCGTTCGCCCATACCGCTACCCGGCGGCTCACAAGGACGAACTCGAGCGGCAATGCGCCGCCATGATCCAGCAGGGCATCGTCCGCCGGAGCGACTCGGCGTTCTCCTCCCCCGTCCTCCTCGTCAAGAAGGCCGATGGCTCATGGCGTTTCTGCGTCGACTACCGCGCCCTGAACGCCCTCACCGTCAAGGACGCGTTCCCCATCCCCGTCGTCGACGAGCTCTTGGATGAGCTCAATGGGGCGCACTTCTTCACCAAGCTCGACCTGAGGTCGGGGTACCACCAGGTGCGGATGCGAGCCGAGGACGTCCACAAAACGGCGTTCCGCACCCACGACGGCCTCTACGAGTTCCTGGTGATGCCGTTCGGGCTGTGCAACGCCCCTGCGACATTCCAGGCGCTCATGAACGAAGTCCTGCGCCCCTACCTCCGCCGGTTTGTGCTTGTGTTCTTCGATGACATTTTGATCTACAGCTCCAGTTGGGCGGACCACCTCCGACACCTCCGCGCCGTACTCGCCTCGCTGCGGCAGCACCGCCTCTTTGTGAAGAGGTCCAAGTGCGCGTTCGGTGTTCCCTCCGTCGGCTACCTCGGCCACATCATCTCGGCGGATGGCGTCGCTATGGACCCCGCCAAGGTCCAGGCGATCCACGACTGGCCGCAGCCCCGCTCACCACGCGCGGTGCGTGGCTTCCTCGGCTTGGCGGGCTACTACAGGAAGTTCGTCCACAACTACGGCGCCATCGCCGCCCCCCTCACGGCCCTTTTGAAGAAGGAGGGGTTTACGTGGAACGACGACGCCGCGGCTGCCTTCACCGCCCTCAAGGCCGCGGTCACGTCGGCACCGGTGCTGGCCTTGCCGGACTTCACAAAGCCCTTCGTCGTGGAGTGCGACGCGTCCACCTACGGCTTTGGGGCTGTTCTTCTCCAGGAGGCTCACCCGCTCGCGTTCTTCAGCCGGCCAGTGGCTCCCCGACACCGCTCCCTTGCCGCGTACGAACGGGAGCTCATCGGCCTCGTCCTAGCTGTGCGGCACTGGAGGCCGTACTTGTGGGGGCGCCGCTTCACCGTCCGGACGAATCACTACAGCCTCAAGTACCTCCTCGACCAGCGCCTCGCCACGATCCCCCAACACCACTGGGTTGGGAAGCTGCTCGGCTTCGACTTCGTCGTCGAGTACAAGTCCGGGGCGACCAACACGGTGGCCGACGCCCTCTCCAGACGCGACACCGAGGAGGAGCCGGTGGTCGCGCTTCTCGCGGTCTCGGGCAACCGTTTCGACTTCATCGGCCGCCTCCGTCAGGCCCAGGCGACTGATCCGGCCTTGGTGGCTGTCCACGAGGAGCTCCGTGCGGGCACCCGTGCTGCGCCCTGGAGTGTGGTTGACGGCATGATCCTGTACGACAGCCGCCTCTACATTCCACCATCCTCGCCGCTCCTGCCGGAAATTGTTGCTGCCATCCACGACGACGGGCACGAGGGTGTCCAGCGCACGCTGCACCGCCTCCGCCGCGACTTCCACTTCCCCAATATGCGCCGCTGCGTGCAGGACTTCGTGCGGGAATGTTCCACCTGCCAGCGGTACAAGAGCGAGCACCTTCACCCGGCCGGGCTGCTGCTGCCCCTGCCGATTCCCACAGCAGTCTGGGCCGACATTGGCCTCGACTTTGTGGAAGCGCTGCCCAAGGTGAACGGGAAGTCGGTGATCCTTTCCGTCGTCGACCGCTTCAGCAAGTACTGCCACTTCATCCCGCTGGCGCACCCGTACACCGCCGAGTCCGTGGCTCAGGCGTTCTTCACCGACATCGTCCGCCTCCACGGCATGCCGCAGTCCATCGTCTCCGACCGCGACCCGGTGTTCACTTCACTGTTTTGGCGTGAGCTGATGCGCCTCATGGGCACCAAGCTGCACATGACGTCCGCCTTCCACCCTCAGTCTGATGGCCAGACGGAGGCGGCTAACCGCGTCATTGTCATGTACCTGCGTTGTTTTACAGGTGACCGACCCCAGCAGTGGCTCCGCTGGCTGCCTTGGGCTGAATTCGTGTATAACACGGCCTACCAGTCCTCGCTCAAGGAGACGCCCTTCCGTGTGGTGTACGGCCGTGACCCGCCCACCATCCGCTCGTATGAGCCTGGTGAGACGCGTGTTGCAGCTGTCGCAAGGGACATGGAGGAGCGAGAGACCTTCCTGGCTGAAGTCCGCCACCGCCTGGAGCAAGCTCAAGCCCTCCAGAAGCTCTACTACGACCGGCAGCACCGCCCGGTGTCCTATCAGGTTGGCGACTGGGCGCTGCTGCGCCTTCGTCAGCGCACCATGGCGTCCCTGCCTCAAGCGCAGCCCGGCAAGCTGAAGCCGCGCTTCGTCGGTCCCTACCGCGTCATCGAGCTCATCAACGACGTCGCTGTTCGCCTGGAGCTCCCTCCTCAAGCCCGCATCCACGACGTGTTCCACGTGGGTGTCCTCAAGAAGTTTGTTGGCGCTCCACCAGCAGCTCCTCCACCTCTGCCACCTATCCAGCATGGCACGGTGACTCCAGAGCCGCTCCGTGTCCAGCGTGCTCGCTTGGCGCGTGGCGTTCGCCAGCTGCTCGTCCACTGGCGCGGCGAACCTCCAGAGTCTGCGACATGGGAAGATGCCGAGGCGTTCCACGAGCAGTTCCCTACCTTTCAGCTCGAGGACGAGCTGGGTCTCGAGGGGGGGAGAGATGTCATGTGGGGCCAGACATACACACGCCGCAGGAGGGCGCGTGACATCCGCCGAGCGGCGGAGCGCGCAGCAGCACGCGAGGGAAACGCGCGCGACGCAGCTGCGCCCGCGCCCGCGATCACCGCGGCTGTAGATGGAAGTGGCTAGGAGAGATTTTAGGAATAAGTTGTTTCCTAGTTTGTTGGCCAATTGGGCCATATATTTCCCTGTACTTGGACAATTGAGGATTAATCAAGAATTACCACCTAATCTCTCCTCTACCTCACGTAAGCCACCGGTCTGAGGGGGATAACCTCGCGGTGAAGGACTGGAGCGCGACTACGAGCTCCGTAGTCGCGGTCCGCCGTCGTTGGGCGTCAAGGCGCTTGACATCTTTGCTGGTTTGAGCATTGTATTATTGTTTGTCTTTAGCTTTATCATGTAACAAATGTTGAGTTTGTTATCTTGCACGACATCTCATGGAGAAAAAATTGAGGAAATAAAACACATCATAGATTATGTAATCCTTCATATCTTAATCATTAGTTTCCCTTATTAAGTCATCAGGTGGGTGATTATGTATTAAGGAATCTATACTCTGTTTGCCTCTGTCTTTTGAAAATCAGTGTCCTTAAGAGCAAGCCAAGCCACAGTTCAGATGGTTATTGTCTTTTTCCTATAAGTATGTTTTCTATCTTATTTCCAGTTGCATAGCCCTAAGGTTTGGTTTGGCATATCTTGTATGATCATCTTAAAGTCCAACCCGTTTGATTCCAGTTAGGACTTAGGACCAGGAAATTAAAAATGCTGTTTTGTTTATTTCTAGTTTTAGTGCATGATAATTTTTTTGTCAACTTTAACCCTTTTCAATGTGCACAAGCTGCTTTATCTGAAGTATTGTGTAATTCATGCTTTAGTGCTTACCATTGGAATGGGCTGATTGATGGGTTGTACTTGCAGTACTTTGTTGGGTGATGGGGCTCAAGAAAACTACTCTTACTGCAAAGGTTGTGGACCAGGGAGGGTGTACATTTGACTGCAGCTGTCTGTTAGCAGAGTGGTGCGTCGCTTCTAAGCAATTTTTCTTCTTACGACAAGCTGATGTTTACATCTGCAGGAAGTTTGTTAAAGCTGAAGCTAGTTTTGCTGATGTTTACTGAGAATGACTCCCTAGAATGGATGGTTTGCTTAAGGTGGTAATGATGTGTATTTAGATATGGCATTTGCATTTAAGGATGGCATTGCAATGTAATAAAGATGTTGTTGGTATTGTAGTTTATCTTATAAAGTGGCATCGCAGTACAAGGATTTGGTTGTCGCGGAAAAGAGCAGCAAAGCACGACCTTTGCCAATTGAATTAGAATCAATGCACTTTGTCATTGCATATTTGCATTGCCACACAAGCACTAGGAAATCATGTGAATCTGAACTGTTTGGATGACAAAGCCAGATGCTCATGCTCTCATGCACGGGAAGAAACAAGTAACAATAACATTTGATTTGAGTCGAGTGTAGCAAGGGACCAAAGAAATCAAAGAAGCTACTAGCTAGCTGGCTTAGGCTAAGCTCTGCAATTCAGCTAGCTGGCTGGACTAAACTCGGATCGGAATTATATTGTTGTTGGAATGATAGAATTAATGGAGGGGGGGGGATCAATATTCCATGGAAAGCTGACGCTGGAGCTTCTTGCTGGCGGACCTCCGTTCCGGCTGCGACAAGCTCTGGAAGCCGGATGCCCGGCTGCTGACGTTGACGGCGCCAAGCATCCTGGAGCAGAAGGTGGCATCTGTTCCTGGGCGGCCGCGCCGCTGCAGCAGGGACAAGTCGTGGACGTGGGCGTCCCAGCTGCGGGGTGTAGTGTGAGGAGGATGATTCGGGCAGTCGTGGTCGTCGTGGGCGTCCCAGCTGCGGGGTGTAGTGAGAGGAGGATGATTCGGGCAGTCGTGGTCGTGGTCGTGGTCGTCGTCGTACTCCAGCGTAGTGGTGGTGTTGTGAACCTGCAGGTGCTGCATCCAGTCGTCGTCCGCCGTGTAGGCGTCGAACTTCTTGTCGTGGCGGTAGTCGGCGGCGGCGGCACAGTGGCAGACCATGGTGGGGCTATCGGAGGAGGCGACGGACCAGCTGCTGGCGTGCGACTGCGAGGAGGTCCGGGAGGAAGCAGAGGAGGGGGACCCCGAGGAGGAGGAAGGGGAACCATGCTGCTGCACCAGCTCGTGAGTAGAGTGGGAGACGCGGATGCGGCGTCGTGCGTCGCGGAGGCGTTCGGCGTCGGTGAGCAGCGAGAGGACGCTGTCACAGCGCCTCTGCATGCAGGCACCCCAGTCGAAGCCCCTGTCGTCGACGTGGGTGAAGCCGCGGAGGTCGCGCAGGGCGGCAACGTCCGGCAGGAAGTCTCGTGGGACCTCGTCGGGCCCGTGGGTGAGCAGGAACTCCAGCACCACCAGAGCCTTGTACACGGGCCTCCACTCCTTCCAGTCGCCGGCGCGGGCCATCCTCCGCCTCAGCACGCCCGCGATCCTCCAGTAGTCGTCCATGTCGAAGGCGGCGTCGGCTATGCTGGCCAGGGTCCTGGCGTCGGGGCCCACTCCGCCGTCGTTGTTGGTCGCCTCCTGCACCAGCAGCTCCGCCGGCGTCACGTCGCCCAGGGCCAGCCGTGCTTGCTTGTATTTGTCCTGCAGAAACCCCGACGCCTGCCCCAGCAGCTGCCACCTCGTCGCCATTTTTGCTAGCTAGCTCCCGCTCGATCGCTAATGGTTATTGGTTGATCTGATGAAGAAGAAGAAACTAATGAATGGTCTTGAAGCATAGCTTGCTATTCATGGCATGCATGGCAATTCAACCAACTGATTATGACTTTACTGGTCGAGAGAGACAAGCGGCGGCGGCCAGGGTCGTTGCCAAAACCCAAAAAGCCAAGGAGAGGATCACACGAGTGCAAGCAGATGGAGCTCCGATCCATTGGCTATTTCAGGATCATCCGTTGCTTCCTGGACCTTAATTTGACCATGCATTGCATATTGCATCTGCATCGCACCGCCGTCCACCTTGTATATTGATGCCTGCTCATAATCGAACATTACAAGTTCTCCTATCATGGAATGGATTGTGTATGGCTCAAGTGATTGCCTGGTTGGGTCAGTCCGGCTCTTGCATAAGCTTAATTAGTTGCTACCTGGCACGTATTATCAATTGTTGTACATCATATCGATCGGCATATCAGATCACCAGCTTCAAGTGTATTCAGACACAGGATTATGGAACAATTATCAGAGGCTCCTCTGGATTATTTATTTATAACCAAAAAACAAGGGCCCCGTACAGGCAGTGACAATTCACAAACAAGGTTTTGCATTCCGGCCGGGCTGACCCACACAGAAGCACAATTTTTATGTCAAACATATATGGCCTACAAAAAGGTCAAAACCATCCCATAAAGGCCACGCAGCGTGTGAAAATGGAAATTACAACCATCAATGTGCTAATCTCTCTCCCTCCCTCCTAATTCCATCTAATCGATCTTCACATTCGAATACAGGAGGGTGTCCCTGGTAAGTGGCATATTCATAAGCAAGCAAACCTGCACAATCAGCACACCAGTCTTCAGAAATATTTAATCACAAGGATAAACTACAAACTGTACGGCGCTGCTCAAAATTATTATCCATTTAATAATTAGTGAAACTTTGATGAATTATGCTCACCCCAATGAGAGTAGAGACAAGAAGAATGATCCCTGTAATCCATGCCAAACTCTTTCTAACAAGTATCTCAGAAGAGGCTATTGTAGTGTTAGTTTGGCTTGTCTCTTTTAGCCATCTCGAAATGTGCAGTGAAGATGCTGGACCCACTAAGGATGGTGAAGCCTCCTTTGTGGATATTACTAACCCAACAATTTTTCCTGTATCAGAACATCGAAGCTGTTAAAACCAAAGCCAAAGCTCTGCAAATGTAAAGATTATATAATAGCAAAAGTAACAACTACAATACAATAATCCTTCAGAGAGAGACGGAGGCAGGTCTAGATTGTTCAACTGATTTGCCAGTGAGGAGGGGCCAATATCCACTTCTCTATGGACAATTCCAAAACATAAACATAACCAAATATAACTTTAAGCAGCTAGCTAATGTTACAGCTCTTAGTCCATCCCTCCAAATAAGAACAAATGAGAACACTTTTTTCCTTTGTTCCTGAGTACCGCAGGAGAATTTAACTTGAACAAACTTCAAGGGATAATGCATGTACGCATGCATAACAGAACTGAAGAAATTTTTGTCAACTTTACCATTATATGCTCCACGTAGTAAATCAAATGCTTTGGTGACAGCTGTCCGGACTACATCAGTTCCCTGCTTAACAATTTCTGTGGAACCATATTCTTCTTCCAAAGCCTACATGAACCCGTCAAATTAACAAGTTAATCATGCTACCGTAGAATCATTTGATGGACCAAGGATAAAAGGGTTCAGATAGGTAGGATTTAGGTGGAAAGGTGTCAAGGTTATTAGTACACGTTTGTAGAAATCAGTTATATCTTCAAACTGCTAGCTAAAAAAATATGTTTACAATTTACCTTAATGCCTTTGAAGTGGCATACTAATAACTCTGCAGGGCTCATGACACCTCCTGAGAAATCTTCATGAACCTGAATACCCCTTTTTATAGTTTTACGAAGGGAGATCAAGCTGGATGCAAATTCCATGTCTGCTTCCTGTAAAGAAATGCAAGTTATAATGAAATTTGGGCCTTGAGATGTCATAAATGCAAATGCGGTCATGTACTCCCTCAGTTATTTATATAAGGATTGTTTTGATCGTGCACAAGTATTTAGGGAAGATAAAGTAGAGAGAAAGTGTTATTAGATGAAATAATTCTTATTCTGATTGTCCACAAGTATTTAGGGGAGATGAAGAAGAGAAAGTGTTATTAGAGGAAATAGTTCAAGTAGTACATGTTTCGAAAGGATGAGAAAGCATACTGGTTGACATTAACAGATAATACATGAGCAAGAGGAAATAAATAACGTCATGGTAGGGTAAGAGTACCACACTTAAATTTACATGCAAGTTTTATATTTATCACCAAAAAATATTCAAATTAAGTTCTTATAGTTTTCGAGTGAATTGATACACACTATTACAGCCCACTTCAAGTAATAAATTATTGTTCTGAGGCACGGTGAGCAATCTCAACCGACAAAAAAGAGTAATAAATTACAATACCACCTAATCCAATTTTAACATAGGCAAAATTTGCTACATGATACTCGTAGTTTGCCATCTTTGCTACTGTACACCCCAAAAATGTGACACGACCATAGGACACACCAAAAACCTGGTAATTTACTGAGGGACACAGCGGATATTATTTTATCATTTCCAAGCCAAATGGCGCGAGAAACATTTACAACAGATGAGGTTGCCCTTGTGGCAACAGCTTATAATGGCCGCCACCATCAACGCCGTTCCTGCTGCCACCAATTTTATAGGTTTAGGGGAGGGAATGTGTCCTGGGTTTGGTTTGAACCACACCAAGTTGTGTTACAACCTGCTGTCCCAAGGGTCAAAATCGCCTTTTCACATGGTTTCTCCCTTCATTTGGCTCGTAAATGATAAAATAACAGCGGCGGTGTCCCCCAGCAAATTACCAAGTTTTTGGGGTGTCCTACAGCCGTGTCACGTTTTTTAGGTGTCTGGCAGCAAATACCACAAACTTCCGAATGTCCTGTATGTCATGGGCATTGGGCCTGGGAGGCCGAGGCCCACAAGCTCAAGTCCTAGAGGATGAACAGTACCACGGGTACTGTAGCAGTTGGTTAGGAGATAGGATAAGATTAGATAGACTTAGTTTGAGTTAGTTGCACTGCAATTCTCGCGATTTGTTGGCACGGAGTGCGCGTCGTTTTCGCAAGTGCAGGAAGCTACGCACGCAGTGAACTGCTTGGCGGCGTGGGGGGCAATGCCAACGGTGAGAAGTTGCATTGGCCTTTTCCTGGGAAGAAACTTTATCCACACTGGGCTGAGTTTGAGGAAGAAGGATCTTACAGCCGTCATGTGCATTTGAGCTGGTCAAGGCTATTTCCTAGCTCCTATTCAAATCAGATTAATTATGCTTCCAAGCTTGGGACAAGGCATGAAATCCTCCTTTGTTTGACAGCTTTTGGATGGGGCCCACCAAGGTTTGATGATGCCATCACGACCAGTCATTCCATAATGTTATTAGATTTGTTTTCAGTTTATAATAACAAATCCAGCCAAGATGTAAAAGGTTTGGATTTTAGTTGTTTTAGGTTTTGTTTAAGTCAGGAGAACCACATTGCAGCTCCAGGACGAGCTGCTCAAAAAGAGGGGTGTAGTGTCATGGGCATTGGGCTGAGAGGCCAAGGCCCACGAGCCCAAGTCCTAGCGGATGAACAGTACCACGAGTACTGTATCAGTTGGTTCAGAGATAGGATAAGATTAGATAGAGTTAGTTTGAGTTAGTTTCTTATAAGGGCCGAGTCATATCATCTCTATATAAAGGATGGATTATCTCGAGTTAAGCGATGAATATCAATTAGTCTAATCTATTCCCCTAATGTTCTTCTCCCCAATCTAAATCTACATCACTTCTCCAGGAGAGAATGCCGTCCGCTATCCTCTCGGCAGTAGTTATCGCGTCATGGCCTCGGGTCATGACACTGTAACAAATTTTGCCTTTAACATAAAAGAAATACATTCAAGAGGGGAAATGGTTGTCATTTACATGAATCAGCAGAGAGGATAGTGTAGTAATAATCAAGTGCTAGTTTACTGGCATGTTTTGAGGATAGTGTAGTAATAATCAGCAGAGAAATTTTGCCTTCTTTTGAGGACTGTTGTATGCGACATAAAAAAAGAAAACACATGCATCCAAGATGCATAGATGTGCAAATGAACAAAGAGAACCTATTTTGTGTATTTGTGCAATGGATAAAACGGTGCTGACCTTTGTAATAAGCAAAGTAAGACTTTCTCCACTCTCCAAGGGAATGATCAATTTGCCATCAACCTTCTCATAGGACCCACCAAGCCAGTTTGCCTGCAAAATTTGTTCGCCATAAATGCTATGCATAATGCCACTTCCTCCCTAAAGAAAGACGAACTTACCAAGTCAGTGAGATCACTATCAAAATACTCAGAACCTGAATCAACAGCTGGAGATTCATCTGAATGAACAATAACTAGATCATCCTTATCTGCAAGGCATGTGATAAATGAATTACAATAACAAAATGGCATGTTCCAAAAAAGTATAGATGTGCGCGCTTCCAAGATAAGAAGTTGCCAGATATTTCGTGAAACCTGTAAGCCCTGTAGCAGAATCGCTTAGACCATCAATAGTGGTTTTGAAGATGCTACCAGCTTCAGATGTGATGCTTTCAACGGAGGCTGACATATGGTGAAGAGATACATCAATAGAGGCACTAAATGAATAGGTGCAAATAATGAAATGAAACAAAACAGACATACCATGGAATCCATCGATTTGCAGCAAGAAAACAGCCCGTGGTCTGTCAAATGGGTTAGGGAGTAACAGCTTGTCTAACTGACAGGGGTAAGAAAAGTTGATGAAGGGGTTAAGTAGGGTGGCAGGAGACATGTAAAGAAAGGGTATGGAAGGTTGAAGTACCTTTGAAGAAGATTGTGCAGGTAGCGAGGGTGGTGGTGCAAAACCAAGCAAGACAGAAACAGCCGCAGAAACTTGGTCTAGTGACATTGAAGCGGCCTGTTGCAGAGTGATAGAACATGATGAACGGGAGATTTCACATAGAGTAATTGAATTGATTGTGCCGCCAAACTCATAAAGTAAATAACTCATAGGAATTATCGATCGAGCAGCAGCTAAGAAACTAGAGTAGCAGGAATAGAGAGGATTGGGGATGGGACCTATCACCTGGTCGTGGTGTTGCTGATCCCGCAGGTAGCGGCGCGACGCGGCATCGACGAAGGCGGCCAGCGCCTGCGTACGTACAGGGAATACATACATGTTAGAGGAGGAAGAGCAGGGACTAGGAAGACTTTGAAACTAGATTTTACCGGAGCAGCAGCGGAAGCGGAGGCGGAGGCAAGGGCGAGGAGCAGCGCCGACGAGAGAAGAAGAATAGCAGGGAGATGGCGAGCCATGGCCGCCATCGAGATCCGGATGGGATCGTCGAGCGCAGCAGCAGCAGCAGCACAAGGATCGATTGGAATTGGATCTCGCCGCCGCTCCTCTTCTCTTTTCGATCGATGTAGAAGAGACGGTTCGATGATTTCGATCGGAGGATTTCCCTTTTCTTTTCTGCGGATGTCAAACGGGCGAAGGAAAAGGGGATCAGGAGAGGACGCGACGCGACCAACACGACAAGTCCGCACGCCCCTTGTTTTCTGTCTATTGGGCTAGGCCTTCCTCCATTCGGCCCACTACCTACTTCCTCACATACGTCTTGGAATCGCTCAACCGCAAAACCTGTCCCCTAACTCTAAAAACCGTTGGAAACTACTCTTTCGGCGGTTTCGTCCGACATGGCATCGTCGACCCCGCTGAACGCCTAAGTCAGCACGCGGTTAGGGTTAAAAGCTTGCGCCTTCTTGGCCAGCCAAATCCCCACACACACAGGCCAAAACCCTAGCCACTAACACAACTACGACGGCAACGGCGTGAGTTGCAGTGACATTGACACGGCGGCGATAGGGGAAGATGTTCGTCTGCGATGGCTAGTTCACGCTGCGACTCGTCGTCGGCGTCTTCCCATTGACCATCTGGCTCTCTCGTCTTGTATAGAGTTGGGCCATTCGAGTACCAGCCAGCCATCATGTGCAAGTGCGGCGGCAAGGTTGCGTGGTGGATCTCGTGGAGCATCTATAACACCGGTCGGCGGTAATTCAAATGCTACAATGCCCGGGTAAGTTGTTTATTTGGTCACATTTGGTCGGTTGACTTGGATCTAGGAGTGAAAATGTGTTTGGGGTTTGCAGGATGGCGGATGCGGCTTCTTTGCTTAGTGTGATGGGCCGACGAGAGATTTAGTGAATGATTTGTAAGATACAGTTTAGTCACTCAAGAGGGAGAAAGAAGAGTTTGGTTTGGTTGTTCAAGCAGAGAGGTTGAATGCAGAGGAGAAGACTAGAGAGGTTGAAGCTGCTACACAAGAGTTAAACTCAGTCAAAGTCTTGGCGTGTGAGAATACATAAAAAATGTTGTGCCGAAGGACAGAAACAGTAGGTTAGAAAATGAGAGACTTTATCTTTGGATGGTTGTTTTTTTTTGTTGTGGCTGTGATGGTGTCAAGAGTGTGAAATGTAGGTTGGATCTGTTTGAATGAATAAAATGAATATTTGGAAAAAAAATGTTCCAAGTTATGGTTGTTCAATTTAATTACATGGCATGGCATAATTTTGGCAGTATTTCAAGGAAAATACTCCCTCTATCCTTAAATATAAGGGGTTTTAGTTGGACGTGGCGTATCCTAGTACTATGAACCTGGATAGGGAGTATGTTCAAATTCATAGTACTATAATACGTCACATCCACCCAAAATCTCTTATATTTTAGAACGGAGGGAGTATATGTTTGTTTGTCCAAACAGGCTGCGGGTGACACAACTGGTTGCAGTGATTACAATATAATTTGACAAGGATAACTGAATTCTCCATTTCAGAGGGATAAACAGCTAGAATGTCAGCAGAATAGTTAACACAATTTGGATCAAACAATAGGTAACGTAATATTGATCAGACAACAAGTAACATAATTTGAATCACGCAATAGGTAACATTATTTGCAAAATTTGCTACTAGATATCTAAAAAATATGTAATTAGCTAGGAGACACTGCAAGAACGCGTATGTGCTATGGGACACCGAAAAAAAACTGGTAATTAGTTGTTGGACACCCGCAGCATTATTTTATTATATCTAGAGCAAATAAAGAGAGAAATAGCTGCAAAAGTATGATTTTGCCCCTGCCTACCATGTGCAGCTCGCATATAGCTCCGGCATGGGGTGTGGGCGGTGGCGGTGGCAATGGAGGCTAGCGGGTGGTGACAGAGGTCGGCACGGTGCGACGAGGCGTGGTCGGCGAGCGGCAAAGGCCAGCATAGCGATGGCGGCATGCGGAGACTGACCGGCAGGGGGTGCCGGTGCAGCGGTGCCCATGCGCCTGCGTAGGTTTGATGGCAGTGAAGCATCGGGGCGTCATCTGTAGACTCACAGGCGGCGGACAACGACGGCATTTTCGAGTGTCTCTACCCCTCTTAAGGGCGTTGTCATGCCGTCCCATCACCTCCAGTGGGGCTGCCAGTGAAAACCGAGTCTCAGCTCTCTTTGAGACCTTAACGAACGGTGGCAGTGGCGTATTTGTCGCTCCTCTCCCTGGAGATGTCATCTAGGCAGCCCCTTACCGAATCCTCCCAAACAACTAGTGCAAGCTTGCTCTCTAGATGCATGTCCTCTTGTGTCAGTGCTCTAGCTTATGCAAGTTGGCCACGTCAAAGGGCCTAGGGGGAGAATGGTTCTATTCTTCTCTCTCACTCTCTCTCTCTGAATCCCAAAGAGGTGGCTAGAGTGGGGCTTGGTGTCGGTTGTTAGGGTTAGGATTTGGGGTTCTCGAATGTAGTTTCTTTGTTAACCTAGCGACGACCGGCCATGCTTAGTGGCGGTCGATTCGGTGCTAACCTTCTTCTGGGTATGTTGAGTTGGAGCTGTTGGTGCATGGGTGGTAGTTATTTTTTTTCTTTTTCCTGGTTATATCACATGGTTGTAATCTTATAATTTTTTTTCCTGCTCTATCAATATGAACTTCGCACTGTCTCGTACACGGGTCGTTCAAAAATAAATAAGTAAAACACCGCTTAATATCTTGTTTAGGCAAGAGATGTTGGATCTAAACTGCTTGATTAGTAGAATAATTTAGTTCAACAATTGGTCATGGTTACACTAGGGTCGTTACATAGAACTGGTACTTTTTTTTCTGTTTGTTTCTTCTATGTACACGACGTACGGTCATTAACTTTAATGTTAAGATTCGGGGGTAATCTAAAGGTTCCACTTACCATCAAAGTTTCTTTATGATTTCTTCGACGTAATCATAACAATTGGTAAAAAGAATTGGGAGGGGGGATTGATGTTTTCTAATTGCTAGTATATTGCTCGTTTTGCATGTCAGTGTGTTTTTTTTTTACTTTTAATATCCCCACCCAAAACGCCAAAGGTATTTTTGTAATTGGCTTGGGGTGTCTAGATCTATGAAAAAGAATTATTTAGGGTCAGTACACTATATATGTTGATCGAAGAAATAAATAACATACGTCGTTTTATATCAGGGATAAAGTTAGTACGTAGTACAAATTAGTTCAACAAGCAGACTGAAAGAGTAAAATGACGGCATCTAATCTTAGCCGTTTGAGTCCGGTTTCTTCTTCTTAGTGAGTCCTGACCAGTAGAACGTCGGCAGCAACAGCATGCCGTGCTACCTGTTTTACGCCTTCTTACTAGTGGCAATGGACCTTGCTGCTTTCAGGTTCAGAAATACTGCCCTGTAATTAATTGCGAATCCAAACCAAGAATTACAAACTACTTGTAATAATTCCAAGCAAATTTCTGATGAGAACACAGAAAAGAAAAATGTCAAGGCCTCACCAGCACGATGCAACAAAGCTGTGGAAAAGAACTCGGAGCTGGAGCGGCATGTATTCATAGTTTATCCAACTAACAATTGGCCAGAACTGCAGAGAGTAACACTCAAATTAACCATGTTACATATGATTATTTTTTATTTTGTCTTTAACATTTCAATGACAAAACCATATGTAAATTCTTTATAATTATGACATTTTTGGCCAGTGAACAACCATATCATGTCAGAATATACCGCGTTGTGTCAAAATATTTGCGAATACATTTTTCTAGGCATGGCCAGAAGGTTTAACTTTGTGACGGTTTATTTTTAAAAGGAGTCAGCTGCTTCAATGCTTTTTAAGAAATATCCTACATGATATGTGCGATTCTATATTTTTTGCATAACAATAACATATTCTGTTTTGGGTTATCTGCAAATTACTGCAGCATATCCAACGAACGACTCATAGAGGTAGGTGAGTGTACCTTCCAAGCTGTCAACTGGACAGATGCGTAGTCTTTCTTGAGCTTGCTCTTCACTTGACTAAAAGGTCTCCCTGCAATTCGTGAAATTGTTAGGGGAAATTATTTTCCATGTCAGGAAAGACCTCTTTCCACTCATAAAATTTTCAGTACTATCAATTTAATCAAAAGGGTTGTACCATAAATTTTTTTTTGTCATTCCACAATTGAGTTTCCATCCAAGAAATGGATGCTTAAATAATATTAACTAGATGATGCCATGCGCTTTGCTGCGGGATATATGTTAGATATTATAAAAATGATTAAATGATTTGGATTAAAATATTATGAAAATGATTTGAGAATGATGATTTAGCATGTGTATGTTTAGTTTTAAAATGAAATAAATTGTAGATATAATTACTATATGCTTGCATGTTGAGTTTTGTATGCTTAGTGGGTTGATGTAGCATGCTTGGCTTGCATGTTAAGTTTTAGGAGTGCTAATAAATACTATGTTTGTATGTTGAGTTTTAGATATTTAGTGGACATTAGCTTTATAGAAAGAATGGATTACATATATCTCTGCTATTGTAAAAACATAGTCGTCCTCCTACTTTCCCATCACGTAAACAACCAGCCTACCTAAAAAAAGCGTTTTCACGAGAAAATCAACCCAACATAAAAAAAACTAGATAAATAAAACTAAACCACATATAACCATTCGTCCGTATTCCTCCTAATACCGTTGCAAAGCACGGTCATACCACTAGAGTAAATGAAAACCGTACCTTTCAAACAAAGACTAGATACAAATAATGACGCGGAAAGAAAAACATAGCACTATTCTAATTGTTGAGACTGAGCTGGAATACCTTCAACCACCAGACCATAGTACATCATAAACATCATATTGTTCCATGGTGACGCAGTTAGTTGCTCCACTAAGACCTGTAGTGCAGAGAACGAAACAAATTATTAACGGTTGTTAAAATGGAAATGTATTAGCTGTAGGTTATATAGCAGACTAGGACGATTAAGCAAGCGTGCAGTAAACATATATACTACTCTTCCGAAGCTAGAGCAAAAGAGGAAAGAGAAAAGAAAAGAAAGATGCATGCCTTCTTGGCTGTAGTTTCTTTTCCTTTCTTTCCCTTGAAAAACCTGTCCATCAGCTTGTGGAGAAAATGGCCAAACGGTCCCGCATAAGCAAATCCATAGAGCTGGGATCATCATCATCAATGAGAAAAATTAAGAAGAGTACTGGTTGGTACTAATATGAAATGATATGAGTACTCATCAATCGGATACTAATAAAGTTGAAAATAACGATGGTATGGAAAGTCCTTGAGTGAGTGCATGTCTGAATCATGAAACGTGAGCGAGCGAGCATACATATGGAGTATAGTACTTACTAGTAGTGCTTTAATTTAATTGGTAGGTGGCCTGGGGGATGAAATGAATTAATGGATACTCCTATTTAGGATGGATGGCCAAATCTTTCTCTTGTGGATCAGATCAATAAAACTTGTTCAAGATATAGTACTCCTATATAGCAGGAAAGGAAAGGAAAAATTTCAGGCAGCAGGATGGATACCAACCATGATGAGGAGGAGCCTCCTGCGCTGGAGGTTGGGGACGCCGGAGATCTTCTGGGCGATGGCGTCGCTGCAGCCGGCGAGAACGCCGGAGGTGATGGCCTTGGTGCGCAGCGGGTGGGCTTGGAGCTGCCGCATGTACGCCTGCCCCGCCATAGCCACCACATCAGACATCGTCGATCGATCCTAGCTAGGCTTGGATGCTCTCCTCCTCCTCTGACCAGATTTGCAACAACTACTACGAGTAGTCTAATACTCCACTACTCAGCTGCTGGCCTGGTCAATAGTACTAATTGGCAGCTACGACGCCGGGTGGGTACTGGGTACTGGGTTGGGTTGGTGGCTGCATCAAATTAGTGAGATTGGATCGATCGCAATGACTTCCATTTTCCCTGTCGCCTTCCTTCTTTATTTCATTCATTCAAGTAATCGAGAAAATTATGCAAGCTCGCTTTTGAATAATACTTCTCTACTGTCTTTTCTACCATTAGTCGATTCTACTGGATTACTTTAGTCAAACTCTCCTATAGTTTCTTCTTCTTCCTCCTTGGACTTCCTGTTTGCCTTACGCACGTTTTACAGTCCACGGACGGAGTCAACGGGCAGGCCACTCACAATTTACCCACCCCATGCGTTGGAACTTGTTGCGAAATTTCTTGCTAAGCAAATTTTGCAAAATTTAATTATGGTCGACAAAAGTGGGATGGTTGTTCCTGGAGGGAGAGTGGTTGGATGTAGAATGAAGAAAAATTAAATGAAAATTGATTGATGAAAAATGTAGAATAAGTAGTATCGTGAATAGTGCTAAAAATATTTAAAATATGGAACAAAGTTTGACATCGTAGAAATATTCATATTCACTTTGTATTTAAAATTTGTTTCCAAATAAGTTACCTCTTTTTAAAAAAAACGTAGTGCAAATGCATGTGCTCGTAACACGCGCACACTCACTTTATAAACGTACACATACACATTATGTGATCAGTATATTTCAATATTAACAAAGTTATCACGAACGTCTAGTTGTCGACATATGCTTTTAAACTACTAGCGTCTCATTAATCACCTACCATTTAAATTTATTCTTGTCTTAATCCCAATTACCCTCCTCGTACTCACAAATAACCATGGACATCTAAATCATTTACCTCTATTCCCTCATAATTTAGGCCATAAGTGATAAAGTGGTCATTTATATTTTGGAATAGAGAAAATGCCTTCTGTTGGGATACGCGTAGGCTACGATAGCATAAATCAAAATTTTCTATCGCGTAAACCAGGAACCATGCAAGTATTAGATCATAGATCGTTATCACTCGACGCGCTGCGCAGCGGAAAAAGGCGCTAAGAAGTCGAAGGAATTCTCACAAAGTAGCGCGCATCGATGTAGAGGAAGTAGTCGATCGCACCGGCTCGACCTTCTCCTCCTCGTGCGTTCTTCTCGCTGTACTCCCACGCCGATCAACACTGCAAACCAGCGGCGCCTCTACCGGTATCCACACGTACAGGGACAGAACGCCACACGCAGATGTGCTAGCGCCAGCGCGCGACTAGGGTTTTGCTCGGGGAGGGAAGTGACTGCTAGGGTTTCTCACGTGATGCAATACCTCCGCCGGTCACACCCCTCACAAATATATAGGATCCATCACTCGGGCCTCCAAAGCCCGTAGAACTCCTACTTGGATCCCTATCCGAATTAAACTCATATTGTATCTCCATCCAAACCCCTTATTCCGGCCCATTAAGCGTGCGACCCTATAGGTTCATGTACACTCGGCTGTAAACTGAAAACTCATTTTCGGTCCACGCGTCAACAGCGGCCCCTAGCAGAACGTATTGACCCACGGGACATACATAAAGATCATATTAACTGAACCTCTAGTATATACTTGTATGAACCCCTTTACCTCACGATATCGATTAAGCTCAAGGCTAGATATGTGCCATCATCTAATAGTTCAATCATTCACTCGAACCTGTTGATAGATTATATAACTTGTGATTGACTCCTCAATCACCTTTGGCATGGCCATGCACTTCCATAATCTACAACATCGAGGGGCCCAGAGATATCTCTCCATAGAAGGGGCAAATCCCAACTTGATTATTCATATCTCACTACATGTTTTATAGCATATCCAAAAACTACTTTTATAACTACCCAATTACGGTGTAGCGTTTAGCAGTTCTTAAGTAAACTACTACACATGTTGGAAACCATGATAATCTCAGGTCTAAGGATTCAACACCAACACTAAATGAGATCACTGATGACACAACACATATTGCTCTTGCAGTGTCTCATATTGGGTCTATCCAACAATATATTCACCAACATGTGTCCATATTATTAATTTGGTATCTCTATACCATGATACATGAGACATGATCATCAATTAATACATGTGCTGATCATATAAATATATTTGTTCTACATATGATATTTAATCAGGGATACTTTAGAAATAGTATCAAACAACATAAAGAGTCTCATGAAAGAATCACATATTCATTAACCAATAATGAGTTATCTATTTTAAGGAACAATGTCGGATAAATATGTAAACATAGTATGTGATACAATCATCTTTATGATTGCCTCTAATGCATATCTCACTAGCACCTTCTCCCAGCTTCCAAACTAGTCCTAGTTGTTTTTTCTGTGGGTAAAACTTCCCTAAAGGCTTTTGACCTTTTCTTTCCCTCTAATTTACAGGGCAAATCTCCTGCCGTCTTGTTTACAGGGCAAACAGCCTTGATTGAGATGGCCGGCCCACGGTCGGCACAATCCATTGAATTTTTTTTTCTCCTCCGCCGGCAAGGCAAGAGCATAGGAAGCTCAGCCGATCGAGCAAATCGATAAATATGATCGATCATCAAAAGGGCTTTCATATATAATCCGAGGCGCCGTCGGATCGAGGAGGCTGGCTTGCGAAGATGGCGGCGGCGGAGGAGGAGGAAACAGCCGCAGGGAGCTGGAGATCATCCTCCAGCCGCAGCAGCAGCAGAAGCAGCACCCCCTACCACCACTCGGACCTCCGATCCATGACTGCAAAGGTCTCTCTCCCATTACCAGTACACGATTCTTTTTTTTTTAATTATATAGTACAACATAGACACTCACCCATATGAACATATGCACGTATATCTTATTCACCCTATTCTTATGAGCATCTTCGAAGATTGGGCCAGCAAATCCTGGAGATTAACACGAAGCCACCACAGGTGCCTCGCTGTCGACGGAGACCTAAGGTGCTACTGAGGCTCTTCTAACCACTAGGCTACAGGCCCTTTCACACTAGTACACGATTCTTAATAAACTCTTTTTTCATCAGTTCTAAAATAAACCAATATACGAAATGTTATATATGTACTACTAATTTGGATAGAAAGAATGTTAGTATTATATATGTCATATTCCGTTTAGTAAATTGCACCAGCGGTCCTTAAACTTATAAGAAATTTTTACCTAGATCTACGAACTAGTAAAGTGTGTATCGATCGAGTCCCCTAAACTTGATTTATTGTATTATATCGGTCCGAATTCTTGTTTGACCGTAGTCTTAGCCTACGTGGCATGTCACTTGGAAGATGACATGGCAAAATTTCCCGTTTCCCTTTTATCCCTACCCCTTCTTTTCTCTTCTTCCTCTACCGCTGGATGCACTAGCAGCGGCGACGGCGGGCAAGCAGCAAAGAGAGAGAGGGAGGCAGAGAGAGATGGCGCCAGCCACCGGAGAAAGAGGCACCAGCGGCGGAGTTGGCCCGACGATGGAGCGGAGGCTCGAGGCCAAAGGTGACAACGGCAACCGCGAATTCCCCGCCCTCTCCCTTCTTTCTGCCTCGAGCTCCACTTGACGGCAACCATGAGCACCTCCTCTTCGTCATCGCCATGCGCGCCCCAGGTCGATGCCACCGCCTCTGCCTCTTCGTCGTCGTTGCGTGCCCTAGATCTGTGCCTTCTCCTCCTCCTCTTTGCTAGATATGTGCCCCTTCCCTTTACTATCTGGCCGGAGCAAGTACGAACTAGGCATGCGCGAAATGCCCGGCGTGGCCCTATATCCAGCGGCAATGCAGCTATCGGCGACCATGGGAGGGCGGAGGAGGCGCCGATGGCTACGGATGACCTCTCCCTTGACTTTCCCGAAGAAGCAGCAGTTGGCGATGCGGTAGCAAGAGAGGTAGCAAGAGAGAGGTGGCGGCGGAGACAATGGTGGGGGGCCGAGAAGTAGTAGCTGCTGCCAGCGGCGGCTGCAGCGGTGAGGGAGAGGAGACAGTGGTAGCAACGATGAAGTGGGAGCAGGTGGTGGCTGAAAGTTGAGAGAGGAGGAAAAGGCCGAAGGAGAGAGAAATGAAAGAGATAGAAGGGAGAAAAAAAGGAGATAATAAATAATAAAATGTGTCATGTTATCTTTCATGTGGCATGTCACGTGGGTAGGACTACGGTCAAACGAGGTTTTGGATTGAGATGATGCAATAAATCAAATTTAGAGATCTCGATACGCGCTTTGTAAATTTGTGGACCTATGTAAAACCTGATTACAAGTTTAAATACCATTGATGCAATTTACTCTATTTCGTATTATTTTTTTTTATTTTGGGACAGAGAGAGTACGCACCTACGGGAGGGATGTACCTGAATTACTGTATATCATATCACCAATAATTTTCAATTGTTTTATTGGATCAAAAGATCCGGCGCTATATTATATGAAGAAGCAGTGTCACAAACATTTGAAGTTAGATAAGATCGATTTGGGCAAACTATTACTAGCACTTTGAACATAATTTTTTTTCTTAAATGCTTAGCTTGGAAAAAAGTATGCGTTAAGATTTTCCATGGAAAGTATTATTTCCTAAATTTTGCCCTAAACATCATATCTATGTATGACTAGAGTAGTACATGGCAAATGTGTGAACACCATTCATCTTCATGGTAGAACTAGAACCGTAGAAGAGCAATTTTCTTGCTTTGCCTAATGGGGGCCACAGGCTCGTGAATTTTCTTTTAAGACTAGCTCATTACCAGGTTGGTTTTGTCCAAATTTATTTGCAAGCTTCCCAAATTTATACAACCCTGTTTAAGCTCTTGGAGTTTTGTGTTAAAAAGTGAAGCCTGTTTGAACTGAAGGAACGAATTTCTACTGGCCTGCCCGAAATTTCAGTGCGCTCTCCTAGCTCGTCGCATCGCGTCCATGAGAATATATCTCGTTTCATACTCCCTCCCTCCGTATAAAAAGAACCTAAAATAAGATGTAATATATTCTACCATGAATATCTGCATTATACATTTAATAGTTTGTTTTTTTACGGAGGAAATTTTTTTGGAAGGAAGAGACGCAAGCAACTAAATTAAATTACTCTCTCTGTTCTAACCACCAAGTCGTTTTGACTTTTTCCATAGTAAAACATTTTAAGTTTAATAAGTTTATATAAAAATTTAATGTTTATACAACATTAAATTAGTTTCATTAAAACCAGTCACTACCGGAGAACTGATCTTTATCCGGATGGTAAAAATCATATTTGTCCCAATTCAAATAAGAACCGGGAGTCCGGGACCAAATAAGATCTTTAGCCCCAGTTCAAAAGCCCAGTGACACTACCAACAGGGACTAAAGATCATTTTTAGTCCCGGTTAAAAAGTCGTCAGGTCGGTGTCATGCTCCCACTATCTTTAATCCCGGTTGGTATTATTAACTGGAACTAAAGATTAATATTTAGTCCCAGTTATTTATACTACCTCCGTCCCAAAATAAGTGCAGCCGTGGATATCCGTGCCCAACGTTTGACCGTCCGTCTTATTTAAAAAAATTGTGAAAAATTTGAAAATATTTAGTCACACATAAAGTACTATTCATGTTTTATTATCTAATAGCAATAAAAATACTAATCAGAAAAAATTTTCAAATAAGACGAACGGTCAAATGTTGAACGTGAATAGTGCAAAACTACAGTTATTTTGGGACGGAGGGAGTACCAACCAGAAAAAAGAAAAATCCGGAACAGACGCCAAGCCGCATGCCTCCCCGCCTCGTCCTCCCCGCCCGTCCTTTCCTCCTCACACATGCGCAGCCGCGCCTCCACTTCTCCTCCACACTTCACGGCTCCTTCACTCCTCCCCCTTCCCTCTCCTCCCTCTCCTCCCCTTCCCCTCTCCGGCGTCGGCAGCGAGCGGCGGCAGCGCCCTCCCCTTCCTCTCTTCCTCCCCTTTCCCTCTCTGTCGGCGGCGTCAGCAGGCGGCGACGGGCGGCGAGCGGCAGGCGGCGGCCGGCGGGAGGCGGCCCCTCTCCGTCGGCGGCGTCAGCAGTGGGCTGCAGCAGGCGCCGACGAGCGGGAGACGGCCGGGTCGCCGTTGGCATCCTTGTCCTCGGCGAGAGGGAGGAGCTAGCGCTGGGCTCGAGCCGATTACGGTGCAGACAAACAGAGCCGCGGCGAGCGCGGCCACCATGAGCTCTCCTTTCTTTGTTCTTCTCTTCTGAATGCGTGTAGTGTTCATGCACATAATTAATCTTCTCTTTGAAGAAGTGTAGCTGTGAATTAGTCATGTTTTTGCAAGTAAGAACAGGAGTTGTGCACAACAATGAGTTGTGGATGATTTTGTTGTTGGTTTTGTTCATTTGATTTGTGATATAGAATTGTTGTTGAGTAGGTTCGTTTGATGTGTGGATTTAGGCAATATGCAAACAGCAAAAAAACAACGAAAAAAATTTAATCCTGGTTGGTAACACCAACCGGCCACCATCTTTAGTCCCGTACTAAAGATTTTTAAGGTCCTGGTTTGCAACCGAAACTAAAGCGGTTGAAAACAGGGATTAAAGATGGATTCCCTAATAGTGAGTATTTAATATATTTTTGATAGTGCGTTTATTTTGTGTTTAAAGTATTTCTATACTTTTTATAAGTTTGATCAAAATTAATTAGAAAAAAAATCAAAACAACTTATAATACGAAACGGCCGCAGTAATCAATGTTTACAGGGTATACAGCACTTGTGCTCCGATCTCCTGGAAATAAACAAGGCCTCAGAGCAAGACTTCCGAAGGAATTTGTATCTAAGCTACCTGTCGTTTGTTAGGTACGTATGATACGAAGGGTTTATTCGTCATCTATATATCTATATATACGTACGAATGAATGTGTGTGCAAAGAGATGAGCTTTGCATAATTAATTTCAGAATGTCGGAAGAAGGTGGCGGTGATTTGGATGTGATGAGTGATCTGAAGCAGCAAGGCATGGTGCAGAGGAGGGTCATCCAAGATGTGAGGAACAGCCTGTACTACTCGTCCGCAATGTCAATGGTGCTAGAGACTAATGGCGGAGGAGACATGGTGGCGGAGGCGGAGATGAATAATGGTGGAGGTGGCGCACCATCGTCAGTGCTGGATGAGCTCCTGTGGGAGAATCGGATGGAGCAGGCCGTGGAGCAGTTGATGCAGGAACAGGAGAGTGGCGTTCTGGCCCTGTCGCTGTCGGCGAGGAAGGCGATGGTCGCCGACCGCCTCGCGTCCGTGGCGGAGCACCCGCGGACACCGCGGCCGGAGCTCCTCCGGGCGGTGGCGGGGCTCTGCAGGCTCGGCGAGGCGCGGCGAGCGAACCACCTGCTCTTGGGGTACTACCGGCGAAGCGTCCTCCGCGGCGTGGACGAGCTGAGGCAGAAGCAGAAGCAGCGGAACAACAACATCATCATCATCAAGGAGCTGGTGCGCACGGTGCTGTCCACCATCGTTGAAGCGTCGAGAAGCGTGGTGTCGTCGGAGGCGGCGGAGGCGAGGCGGTGGGCGAGGGAGGAGATGGACGGTCTGGGCGTGGCGTTCCGAGAGTTGGTGCACATGGCAGCAGCTGATGGCAAGCTGTCTCTGCTACTGGAAGCTGCAAGATGCGCCCTCTCCTACGGCCCTCTGCTGCTCCTGCTTGATGAGGAGTTGGCCGAATATCTGAGGGAGCTGCTCGCCCGGTGCATGGAGGAGGCGCTGGCCATGTACGCCGCCCATCTCAGGCAGGTCCTCCGCCTGCTAGTGCTGCCCGTTCCCGACAACGACGACGACGACGACGACGAGGGCGCCTCCTCCTCCATGTTGCTGGGGCGCTTCCTCCTCTCGGGGGTGCTGAGAACGTCGACGACAAAACACAACTGCTGGTGCCTGCTCACCACGAGCGGGAGGAAGCTGGTTACCCTCATGCAGGAAGTGGCGGATGACGTCTCGCCGCTGCTGGAGCTGGATCTCGCTCTCGGATCCACGCTGCTCCACCTTCTCGCGGATCTCTTACGAGACTACATGCTCATGCAACTTGGAGCAACCGCCGCTGCCGATGACATGATGATGGTCTCCCTCCTAATCAACTGCACCACGCTGCTGTCCCTCTTCCCGCTCATCGCGCGCCGTATCTTCACAACTACATCATCTCAACAACCAGCTGATTTTCATCATGCCACTAATAATAAGGGGGAGCTCCACCTCCACGGCCTCATCGTGTCCATCAAAGAAGCCGCCGCCCAAGTATGGACATGCTTCTGCCACCACTTCATACGCCACACCATCATGTCAACCACCCTACACCACAAAACACACAGCAGCAGCAGCATCAGGCACGGCGCCAATATGCCTTCCTCTGCTTTTCAGGTGCGTTGCACTTGTGCTTAATTACCTACTGATCGATTACGATCAAATTAACAGTAGATTACAATTACATGCTCGCTCTCAGGTGTTGTTCCTACGGGTGAGGCAGCTGAATAGTCTATACGGTGCCATCTTAACCGGTGAGGATGGCACCATGAAGAAGCTGTTGCAAGAGTTGATGGAGGCTATCATACTCTTCTACCTCTCTGATGAGGACCTACATGACTCTTGGATCATCCGTCAAGCATCCCATGCTGTCCCAATACAGGACACGCTCCTTCTCCAGGTTAGTTTAAGTTTACTACTCCATATATAATCGGACTAGATTAATCCATGTACATATACGGGCAGGTGTTAATTGCTGACCAGATTCTCTAATCGATCTGTCGCAGATCCAGCTAGACGTTCATTTTCTACTACAAGTTGCACAGTTTGGTGGCTTCTCCTCCGACGATTTCAGGGACAATGCACTGGATTCGCTCAGGAAAGCACAAGCGAAGGTCGTGCCATTATCATCATTTTTGGAGCAGCAGCAGCACGAGGAGTGGGCTGCCGATGCTGCAAGGCACGCAATGCAAGTGCTGATGATGGGGTCTCAGGCTGATGAGGAGAACAGCACCGACTCAGTGCAGAAAGACGAATTAGCAGCTGATGATGGTGATGAGATGCAGCCGGATGCTTGGGTCGGAGCTTGCACTTGTAGCGATGGCAAGTCCAGCGATGAGTTCGTCAGCATTGAGGATGATCAACTAGCCATTCACTCGGAGAATGAGGCCGGAGCTGCTGCTGCTGCACAACAAGTCACCATCGAAGAAGCAACAAGTGCACAGGCCAAGGAAGAGAAAAACAGCAGTTGCTCGTTGCAGGATCGATGACGGTAAATCGTGACTACTGAGTGCTGGTTGGGAAATTCGGCGCCCATGAGGGTTTTCCAATCAGCACCTATGGTGGTTCTATGGTTGTTTCTGTAGTAGTGTAAGCAACACTAAGATAGCAGTGAGCCAGAAATTAACTAAGCTAAGCACGTACGTACGTACGTCGGTACGTGTATGGTGTACACCACTATTATATGCATTCGATCAGAAATTAATTCTACTGCTCCATCATATCGATCGCAAATAAAGATTGACTAGGAGATCCAGATCCATCCGATTGGAGCTTGACGGCAATGATGTCGCTTAACTGGCTACATACAGTCTCAGTCTCATACATATACATCATGATCATCATACATGCTAGCCAGCGCTAGTGTCTGTATACACGCATTATATAGTATATTATTCATTCGTTCATGCATGCGCGTATTACTTACTACTAATTCATTCGTTCATGCCGCCATGGCATGGATGGATGGAATTGAAGGTCAGAAGAGGAGGTATACGTACGCACAAGACACATTTATACGCAGGGAGGAAGGCGCGGCTGGCTAGCTAGCTACAGGAAATTCATTCATTCAGAGAGGAAATCCACACCAATCAAATGAGCTAGTAGGAATTAGGAAGGGCATGTCGATCAGGCAAGGAAACCGAGCTTCTCGCCGTTCTTCTTGGCAAGGCGGATCAAGCCCTGCCTCTGCTTGGCGTCGGCGCCGATGGTCTTGCAGAACTCGGTGATCACCTGCAACAAGCAGTACCGTCCGTATCATCGATGGCCACAAGTCACTCACTCACAAGATAGATAGCAAGCATATTGATATGTTTGATTGCAAAATTTGCTTATATATATGGCATGGCAGATGATGATAGCTAATTAATTAAAACTAGTGTACTATAATTGATGAGGATCGGAGTAGAGTAGACGTGCGTACCTGCGAGTGCAGCGCGATGGCCTTTCCCCTGAGCTGGTTGAAGCGCTTGCGGCCAACGATGTTGCGCACCACCACCACCACCGGTGCGAAGATCCCCTTGCCCTCGTTCACGTTGCCCATCCTCGCCGGCGCCCGCAGTGGCCGCGCCGACCGAGGCCGCGCCGCCCACGAGCTCAGCGCCAACGAGTGCGAGTCGCCGGACACGGAGCTGGACCACGTCGGGAGAGCCCTCGCCCCGGGGAGGGACACGGATGATGCTGCAGCTGCTGCCATTATAGCTAGTAGGAGGCAGGATTATACTTGAATGATCTTGCTCTGAGGAGGAGAGGAGAAAGTGGTGGCCGCGGACGGAGGAAGCAAGTTAGCAATCCGGTGGGTGGAGTGGAGTAGAGGGCCGGGACGGGAGTGAATCCGAGCCAGTAGAGTACGTAGCGCGCCGAATTTGGTTGCGGCGTGCAGCCAGCCACATGTCCTCCTCGCAAGAGATGAGGAGTTTCTGGGCACAAATACACCACCTATACCCTGCTGCCATCTCGCACGCCTCTCCCTTTCCATACCACGCTGTCTCTCTCTCCCTCCCTCGGAAACTAAAAAGCTTTTTTCCCCTTTCTTTCGCTTGTTCACCAATGCATTTTGTTAAGAATGCAACTAGATCGAAGGGTCTGCAATTCTGAACCAACTCAAAGTAAAGCACTAAACACGTAATTAAGTAGCACAACAGAAGCCAGCGCTGCACGCATAACACATACTAGTAGGAGTATCAGTCTGTCAAGTAGAGCCCACCCCAGCCATCCATTTTTGGACTAACAGCAGCAATACATCCAAATCGTACAATGTACAGCAACAATACATCAATGTTTTAAATATGCATGAGATGACATCGCCAAATAAAAATCATGATCAACCAAGTAAGTAACCATCATGGTGCTGGCGGTGGTGTTGGTTTCGGCGAGGTCGTCGACGCCGACCATGCTGCTGGCGTCGTTGTAGAACTGGTGGACGACATCAGGGCTCTGCTGCAGGAGGTTGCAGTAGTTCCTATAAAAAACGAAACGAATATAGAACAGGATATAACGTATATATTTTAGTACTGCTAATATGAATATATGTATGTCTACGTTCGTAGTATTAGAATATGTCACATCTGATACTAGAATTGATTTTTTATGAGACGTAGAAAGTAGGTGCCGATCGACCTAGGAAGGAGAGGAGTGAGAGTGAGGGAGCGAGCTAGGGTTAGTTTATTTTGAGGAGAGGAGAGAAGGGGGGGCACTTACCTGAGTCGACACCGCCGCCGCCGCGTAAGCCATGGTGGAAGCCTGGAAGGGAGAGGTGCGGAAAACCCTAAATCTGCGTCCGCGTGAAGGGAGCCGGAGAGAGGGAGCAAGATCTACTCAAGAAAGAGTCGATCGAGACGATCACAACTTCATGAGCAGCAGTCTGCGGACGCGGATGGACTGGATAGCTTCCCTTCCCTTCTCTTCTTCTTTTGCTTTAATTAATATTTTGCTTCGCGTCCCCTCTCTCTACTTCACCTTCGCTTATTATTTATTTATGTATTATTGTAACCCTATCCTGATTCGTATCTTATTATTGTGTAGTGCGTATGTATTTCTTTTCTTAGGACATAAATATGATCGTACCAAATACGTTCATGACTCTTACCATGAATCCTTCTAATCCTAATTTTCGTTAGTATCCTGATTTGACGAGATCTGTTTATGACTTATCTTTATTTATACTCAATCCGTTTTAGGTTATAAGATATTTTGACTTTGATAAAAGTCAAACTGTTTTAAGTTTGACTAAATTTATAGATAAATATAGTAATTTTATATTACCAAATTAGTTTTATTAAATTAATACTTAAATATATTTTTATAATAAATTTCTCTTAGGTCGAAAATATTACTTTTTTTCTCTAAACTTGGTCAAGCAGTTTGACTTTGACTTTACCTAAAGTCAAAACATCTTATAAACTGAAACGGAGGAAGTAATTATTATTAAGGTGGATTGAAAAATCATGTGAATAGATCCATTTATTTTTTAAAATAAAATAAGTCAACTAAATTTATTGAAATTAATAAATATTATAGGCTTCATGTGATCCAATTCTGTGATTCAATACTGTAAAAGAAAAAAAATATACCTAGCGTCCAGATCCTAACTTGTTGAAAATAAGTAAATGTAATTAGATGTTTTTGAGGATACGCTACATACAGAAATACAGAATACTATCAGCCGTCGGTTGCCTTGATTGCTTACGGTTGAAATAAATATAGATCAATTACTCTTTGAATTAGGTAAAATGTAGGTAATTTCACTTTGCACTGGTACAAAATCAACGAGACCGTATATGATTGGGTAATGTTGCTCTTTAACATCACAAGAACCCACCAATCACTCGTACCTTGGGCCTTGCAACAACAGCACACAAATCTCTCTTATTAACACAAGCCAAGGTATATTGACAGTATGCAACAACAATCAATGTTTACATACAACTTAGGAACCGATTTCAACTGCAGGCGGCTTTCTTATTACTCCATATTTCAAATGCTTAATCTCTTCTTTTTCAAAGGCGCCCACAATCCAATGAATCCATCCCAATCAAATCCAACACAGATTGATACACTACAGTTCCTCGAGTCAATAGGCAACCAGGCGGGGATCTGTGCGATGGGGAAGAGCAGTCCGAGCCCCTAAACCCCTGCACCCGCAAGCAGCCTGCAAACACACACACATATGTATCATATTAGATTAATTTTACTTGTGTGGATTGGTTTGGCCCAGGTTTGCACGAACTAACCAAGTTATTGTACCGGAATAAACAATTTGCAAGTTGTTGTACCTATTTGCACCCACCATATAAGTTCGTGTACCATGAACGCAATTTACTTTATATAAATCATTTGCCAGTTTACCCACTTCTCAGTTTTATAGGTACACACATCCACCTATAAACGGCAATCTCGATACCAATGCAATTACTGGCTGCAATTTCCCCTCTATATTTTTTTTACTTATACTGTTATACAAAGAAAAAGGAACATAATCATTTAGTAGCAACTTCTGGGCTGTGTTCTAGTAACAGTGCGTTTAGGTGAGCCTCCTGTGTGTGCCCTAGAGCAGCTTAGATGATAGTATTGCTGTGGTATGTGGTAATAAGTGGTTGTGCTTAGCAGAAAATTCCCAACTAACTGCAGTACTCGAGTGCAATACTATAGAGTTATCTTACCACTTGAGCTGCAAAAGGCAGCATCTTCTCAGGCGGCATGCCAGAGCATAAACCTAAACCACAAAACAGACAACAAATCAGCTCATGCCACCTCACATAATGATAGGCCAAAACCTATTACCGCAGTCATAATCAACAAAAGAGAAGCAACGTTTACAGTCCAAATTACAATATGTTTTTCGTGGGGGGTTATCCACCCCCAAAGGCCATGCGCTCAACATTAGTCGTGTATTGCGACTGCTTGTATTTTGAGGCTATAGAACGTTATGCGAACACATCATTAACAACTTTGGTGGATACCGGATAACTTTTAAATATGACAGATGAAACATACCACTGCTAAGTTGACAACAACTGATTTCACAGAACAAAATTTACTTGGTCCACTAACAAAAGCTACAGTTAAGTAGCATAAAACCAGCTATTTTTAGCATGAAAAAGTTGGAAATTACATACTGACCGTAGAGAACTGCTCCGATAAATGCATCACCCGCACCAGTTGTATCTATGAGCTCTTCAGAGGGTATAATTTCGGCAGTGCCTAAAAGTAATCTGCCACTGATGGATCCTATTCCATCTGCACTTATTCTCAAATTTGACTAAAACAATAAAAGAAGCAGAAACAACTAGATAAGGGACATATAAAGTTGAAAAGAAAATGTAAATGTGAATAGAAAAAACTGGAAACCCTGTCACTAACTTACAAAAGATAGCAGATACACACACCCCAGCAATTAGTTAAACTAAACCCCAACACCCCCACAAACCCACAAAAAATAAAAAGAGGAAAAGAGGAGGGGGCATTTACATTAGATAACTTTATCCCCTGTTGTGTAACCATGGATCTTTAAGTCGCAAGATAGCATGGACCAAATAATGCAGATTCAAGTCCAAGCAGAAAGCACATCCAAGAGATGCCATACCTTGGAGGCGATGCATTTTGGCATGCTTGAACTCAAAACTTCTTTCTTCTCTAGTGATTCCAGAAGACTCTCTACATCTATTTCCTCTGCCTCAGAAGCATCTGCAAGTTGAGCAGCATGTTATAGTTTTCTGTAAAAATAACGGAGAGAAACATAAATTCTTTTCAAGTAAAATGGATATCTCAGGTGTCCATGTCATGTCTCCCAATCGAGCACAATGGATAACTATGCTTGGTAGTTGGTTAGGACCTGGGCTTCCTCGGCCAAGAACTGTTGTGACAGCGCAGCTAGAGAATGGAAGGGGCACGGAGATAAAGGGAAATACCAGAATAATCTCTTGCTTGCTAATTCAGAAGATGCCAAGTCTCCTTTAAATAACTTCCTAATGACCCTTTCTAATATCTACCTCTGATATTATCGTTTAGCACTCAATAAATAAGTAAACCTCATATCTCTAATTTTCTGGTTATGCGGATGGTGAGACCAGTGCACCATGTTGCTGGGCTCTGTTCATACAGTGATTTCCTACATGACAGTCCATGTTTTTTCTATAAAGCTTCGCTAGAATTGGCATGCAGCAGTACGGTAAACTCACCTGTTGTGCTTCTTTCAAGCATCAAGCATCCCTTTTCTCCAAGGGTTACAATAATAAACTTGATATTAGGCAATCTTAAAAGCATGGACACCAAAGCAACCGGTGTTGATGAGGCTCCTGTCCAAGCCTGCATTATTCACATTAAAAAAACGTCATTAAGAAATACTAGAAAGTAGCAATCTGAGATACCAAGACACAGTTTCCCGTAATATCAAACTCAGCCTCTGAACACAAAACTTTACATGCCATCACCATTCATTGGAACCATGGTAGTGACATTAAGTGTCCCTTCATGTTCCAAAAGAACTAAGGCCAGAATCATGGGGAAATAAAGTGAAGATACAAATTCTTGACTAGCCTGTTTTCAAATAGTAAGTTAAAGTTAGTTTTGTAAGGGCAACAATCAGACGACTAATCGCGATTAGTCGTTGATCAGGTCCGGTTAGTCGATTGCTAGTCGGTGTCTAGTCGTCCTGGTACCCAGAATGTGTATAGTATAAGTAGTTAAGTATAACTCTACATTATAACGATTTTTTTCTATATATGGTAGTAAATCTGTGATTTAGTACTATGCCATGCAAACATACTATAATAAATGTGTGTAAAGTGTTAAGAAAGCAAGGAATCCAAGCATCAAGCATGGCTTGGTAGCTTCTTACTAGTCGTCCATAGCATAACCGGACGAGTAATCGCGTTTGGTCGGTGATTAGTCGGACAACTAGTTTTCTGATCAAGCTAATCGTGTCGGAGTGCATAATCAAGCTACTGATGCCGATCAGAACGATTAATCATGACTAATCGTGATTAGTCGGATGACACAAGGCAATGCCAAACGTACACACTTACCAGTTTTAAACGAGAAAAATAGCTTAAGATAACTTTTCAGGAGAAAAATAATGCACATTAAAGCGAACTTTTCTTGCTGAATACAGACAGGGCTTAATGGTTAAACCCTTATGCAATAGAATTAGTTACCTGAGGAAATTTTGCAGAGCATACAACATAAGATGCGAAATTGAGAAGCTCGTCCAATCCATCCCTCTTCCGTTCGGCATCAATCAAAATAGGAAGTTTTCTTTGGCTTGCCTGCACTGGATTGTTCCTCAAACAAAGCTCAATCTCACTACTAGGCGTACCCTTGACCAAAACAAAAAAATGCTACAGGTGTGTAGAAAAAAGGCTTACACATGGCATTGACACTGCATATGTTATATATTAACGAATTGGACATGGCAGCTTTCCTATTCATAGTGATATTCCCAGACATACATGTAGAAAGAGTGGAATTCCGAATAGGAAAAAAAACATTCCTATGTATGGTATCAGTTGCCCATTAAGTTGTATAGAACTGGAATAAACTTTTAGTAAGTGACAATTCATGTTCTAAGAACTCTAATAGTTTCCACTAAACGCAAATGGGAAATTTGAGTGCCCCTACCCAAAAAAAATATTAAAAACAGAGAGTAGGCATTTATATTTGCAAGATCCTCTATAAGAAGATAAAATTTTGTGCCAGGAAAATATTACCTCTTCAGCAACTAGTAAAGCAGTTTCATGCAATCTGACATCAAAATATACAATGTCAGCACCGTCTAAAGCGGCAAACAAGTTTTCTTGTGTGAGCTCTTCAGGGACCATAGGAGGATAACCAGGAGTGTGAATACAAGTACGAGTTTTCCTGAAAGAAAGAGGGAATTAAACAGTAGTAATAACAGGCTGAATATTTTAAGAATTAGAGTGCCACTTTTGTATGACCATCCGATTTGTGAAATGAACGGTAAGATTATTTTTAAAAAAGAGATAAAAAAAGGGGACACTTTTAACAGCAGGACGTGAACCAAAGTGATATGTACATTGTATCATACCAATGAATAAACTGTAAATGCATATCCATTGGTAAGCAAGTGACCAAAAGGGTGTACTTCACTTAAAATAAGTCAAGGGGCATCTGTTTAGAAGAAAGATTTGCATATGTTGCTTCTTTTAGGAATGTTATGCTTAGTTGGGAATGGAGTATATATGATCTCTTAAAAGGATTATGTAGAACTTGTCAAGTTTAAAGTTGCGTTGCAATTGCAACACATGGGTACTTAGCTAGTTGTACAAACATGAGGACATATATATATCTAATAAACATGTAGAGTAGGTAGAAAATGAGTGAGTTACGTCTGGTTGTCAACAATTATATAGGTGAAAGGTGAATTCCCCTCCTCTGCAACCTGAAAATTGATGCGGCATCCATGATAATTATTACTGGTAGAAAAGAAGAAAAGGCATAGTAAGTTAAAGTAATTAGTACCAGGATATGAGAGGTGTCGACCCCATCATCTTGCAGCTCCTTGAGAATATTTCTTCCTTGTGGGTCATTGGATACCTGGTAGTGCAGGCTTTCGTAAATAGGAGTAATAATTGAATTGAAGGAGGAGCAAGTGAAGTGGGTAGTACCTTGGATATGATCCTTGGGCGAAGGCCCAAACGAGCAGCGGCGGTCAAGGCATTGCCAGTGTTGCCGCCTCCCTGGACCTTGAGCGTTAGGCTTCGGATCTTGTCGTCGGGGTTGGGGAAGGAGGCGACGGTGGCGAGGTAGTCCGCGGAGACGGCGCCGCAGCCAAGCTGTGAGGGTGTGGGTGTGATGCGTGCAGATGAGAGAGAGAGAGAGAGAGAGAGAGAGAGAGGCGGGGAGCGAATCGAGGGAGTGAAGAGGAGAGGAGAGGCGTACCACGACGGGAGGTTTGGAGGAAGAAGCGGCGGCGGAGGCCATGGTCGGTGGGCGGCGGCGAGGGCGAGGAGGTCGTGGTCGTCTTGGTGTTGGTGAGGAGGATTGAGCTGGACTTGGGCCGATGATGCGTACCATCGTCATCGCCACGAGGAAGGAATGCAGATGAGATGCAGCTGACTCAGATAGAGGGCCATCCATCCATGGCTTTCACAAATCACAAGCCCACTCACTCACCTCCTCACCTTTGCTGCGTTGCCCTGTTCTGGGGATAAGGCGAGGTCGGCGCGGGCCCTACTTTCTTCGGATTCTGCTCCTTTCATTCATTCAAATCCAACTCTTCACAGTGCAAGCACGTGGCGTTCAGCCTCCTAGCAAGAAATCAAATGAAGTTCTAGAAGCCAAAACTGGACACTCGTTTTTCGTTCGAAGAACGACTCACGACGCAGGGAGAAAGGAGCGATGCCGCGTTGTGGAGAGCGGTACCTCGCGGGCGTGGCTTGGGAGCTTGGCAGGACAGAGGACGCGAGCTTGGCGGGAGAGAGGAGGGCGCTGCCGACGGGGAGAGAGGAGCGGCTGCTCCGGCCACGCCGCCCCCCAATCTGCGCCGGCCGCGCCGCCCCCCGATCTGGACCGGCCGGGACTCGCCGGCCGCGCCGCCCCCTGATCCATGCCTACTGAGCTCGCGGGCCACACCACCCCCCGATCCATGCCTACTGAGCTCGCCGGCCGCACCGCCCCCCGATCCATGCCTACTGAGCTCGCGGGCCGCGCCACCATTGCCGCTCGCGAAGCTCGAGGTCGCGCCACCTCTCCGCTGGGCCACCCCGCCGCGGTAGAAGAAGGGGGGAATATCAGGCGACAGAGAGGGAGAGGAGCCCAAGGTCGCGCCAGTCACGCCGCCTCTCCGCCCGGCCACGTCGCCGCGGTGGCGCGGTGGAAGGAGGAGGGAGAGGGAGGCGACGGACAGGGATACGAGCTCGAGGTCGCACCGCCTCACCGTCCGGTCAACCCGCCATGGTGGAAGAAGGGCAAGAGGGAGACGAGCTCGGCAGCGCCGTTGTCCGCTTTGTTCGGCGCGGGCGAGCTCCGGTGGGCGCAGGCGAACCCCGGTTCCGTCGCCGGTGGGAAAAACAGAGGAGATCAAGCCAGCGACTAATTTGTCGCTGACTACTGGAGTAGTAAGAGAGTAACATCAACTGTTCGTGCCAACTTCACACTTTATGTGGATGTGCATCCGAAGGTGCTAAGACAAGACGATGCTTAAACCAGTGTGATGACATTAACGTGAGCAAGGAGAAGGTAAATTAAGGGATTCTTCGTTACAACTAACTACGAGCGGCACAAGTAGCGATACAACCATAAAGTAATTTTTCACAAAGATTTGCACGACGATATATATCTCGGAGTTTAAATCATCAGTGAGATTCTACTCTCCTGATCTTTTACAACCCTATCCTCGTAAAGATTGCACAATTATGCTCATCTTTCACTAGTGTTGTATCTTTTCTTGCTAAGATGAGATGCGACCTTTACAAATTTCTCACGGCCAACCACATGTGGATCGGTGAGTCGGGAGTGATGTCTGACCGTCTAAAAGTCTTCAACCACTAATATTGATAAACACCAAACAACTCTTGGACCAACACTGATACCCAAAGATCGAGAGAAACCCACCCTAGGTCCCAGATAATACCTTTGTCCCAAAATAAGTGCAGCCGTAGATATTCGTGTCCAACGTTTGATTGTCCGTCTTATTTAAAAAATTTATGAAGAAATTAAAAAAACTTAGTCACGTATAAAGTACTATTCATGTTTTATTATCTAATAACAAATAAAAATACTTATCATAAACATTTTTTAAATAAGACGAACAGTCAAACGTTGAATATGAACAGTCAAACATTGAATATGAAAAGTCTATGTAAATACTTTTCTCTATGACCCTGTTCAGTTTGATGTCATTTTCAACCATACCATTTTTTGTAAAGTTGCCAAAATTTTGGCTACGTTTAGTTTGTTGCCAAATTTTAGCAAGTAGATATGAAATCTTACCAAAATTTGGCAACCTTGCCAAAATTTTAGCAACTTTACCAAAATTTGGTAATACCAAAACTTGGTAAGGTTGAAAATGGTAGCAAAGTAAACAAGCCCTAGGTGTTGTCTAAATAACATTTGCCCCCCTTTTTTTTCCTTCTACAAACATTCACATTTATGTCCTTAGATCAAGACCAAACCATCCCCTACATATCTCTCATCTAATAAGGAGATCCAAACCAGAAGCCTACTTGTCGCTACCCCAAAACCATCACAGCCGACAGAATGTGCTTGTACGGTCTTGCCCCCGTCATGCTGCTCCAGCGATGCCATCACTATCAAAGCCACCAGCAAAGACGACCATTGCATCCCTTCGCCCCCCGCCACAGTTGTTTCCTCGCTCTGGCGGCATCATCATACCGCTACCCAAGCCAATGTCGCTTGTCACTGCCTCATAACCACTTTCCCCTTGCTTTCCTCACCACTGACCCTACATACTGCCTTCTCCTAACCAACGGCGCCACTCTTACCTTATGAACCGCAATGTCTGTCACCCACCATGGGGCAACCACCTCCGTAGACTTCCCTCTAAACCCCTTCATGCCTATGTCCCACCACATAACCTAACTCCAGAGAAGACAAAGGCTTACAAGGGTTTGCCGGAGATGGAGACTCCTCAAGTGGGGGACCGTGGGGGCCACCTTTTTGGTTCGGACTAGGGCGAGATAGCGGGAAGGTGATGCAGAGGGGGGTCGGACCCCTCGGGAGTGATGGAGATGCAAGCGATTTATACAGGTTCGGGCTGCTGTGGAAGTGTAATACCCTACTCCTGTATGTGGTTTGTTCTGGTGGGAGAATACAAGTGCTTCCTTTCTCTGGGTTGCGATCCCCCTTTCCCCAGGCATGGACCTCATTTTATATCATAAGGGGTTACCACAAAGGCCCAAGACCTAGCTTCAAGGGAAAGGGAAACATTCTTTACAGGTAATTAATATGTGCCTTGTCCTTACGACGTGTGAAGCCATGCGCGCCTTACCGCGACACGGGCCCCATCCCATCATGCCGAGCAACGTGGGTGGTCGCCCACATCATTCCTTCTTAAATGCCGACGACTTCTAGCCGTCCGGCTCCACCAAGGGGTAGGGTCCTCTCGAGCGGACCAGCGTGGAGAAAAGCGTTGATCCAAGTCCAAGTAAGGGGTGAAGAACCTCTCATTAATGGTGACGGGATGGAGCAGCCGCAGGTCATGCCCCCTGCTAACAACAGGCGCGTGTGCACAACACTCTGACCTACGCCTGTCCGCCATCACATCTGTCATTCCTGCCGCAAGTGGCCCGTTAGTGCGCCTGCATGCCGCATTAAATGTGGCGTGCCACGGCGCTGAGAGCGCCAACCCATGCCGCACATGCGAAACAGAGTGAGGAGGGGCTCAGGGCGGCCCAACCCCTGGCTTGGGAGGCAGCCACCACCCCAACCCCGGGCCCGACCCCCCCTGGGGAACGCCACGTGGGTTTGGGGCGGCCTTCTCCCTATATAAGGGGTATCCTCGGACCCATATCATTAACAGTGATGCACGAATCTTTGGACATGATCCAAGGGTCTAAAGTTGACATCTCCCCGCACCTCCTCCTCCACCACGAAATTATTTGAATGTTATTTTAGCAAAGTCGTTTCTTTAATTTAATTTGAATGGTTACGAGTAGATCAAAGTAGATAGATGGCTAGATACATTCACATGTTGTAACAGTTTTAGACTCTTGTTTGATTATAAACATTTAAAAAGTAAAAGGGCAACACATTCCACGTATGAAATGGCATGCTCTTTAAGTACAATTTTGCATACACTAATGTGATCACGATAATTAATGATTGGATCTTTCTAGTTAACACAGTAGTATTGGTGGAGGGGAGATTGGTTTTCTAAACTAACAATGAAACAGCCTGCATCCATTGTTTAGGCTCGCCCAAGTTGTAAAAAAAAAACTCGTGTGGTGGTCAACGTTACAACGAGAAATAGGTATTGGCTTTGTTTAGTTCCCACACAAGAATTTTATACCATATCTGTAACGCTCCGCTTTTCGTGAGTCGTTAAAAACTAACTCGGCAAAATCCTAATTGCGAAAATTTTCGTTCTTTGTATGAGAGTCTAAGTTGTGCCAAGGATCCCAATTTAATCCCGTTATTCCCTCTCATCGAAATCAAAATCCTCCCCCTCATCCAAATTCCTCTTCCGATTCGAGTCTCTGAAATCAAATTCTGAAATTCAAATCCTTCCTTTGAATCCTCGCCAAATACTTCTACGAATCCAGAATTATTCAAATCCCACCTCGAATCCTTTCCTTGACTCCACCCTATGTTCCCGAGAACAAATACCCAAGTATTCCTTTTAAATCTTTTCCATGACTCCTCCTTGAGTTTCCCTTGATACATCCCTAAACCCTCGAGTTCGAATATCAAATTGAATTCGAATCCAAACCCTAAATCTCTCCAATTCTATCCAAATCAGTTTTCTCTGTAAAATCTACTGTACCTCCCTGTATTTTTGGATGGACCGATTTTCCTCCCCCGGCCCATCTCCCCTCCCCAGCCCATCTCTCTCCTTTGCCATCTCCCTCACGTGCGCTGCACGAGCCGTCGCCGAGAGAAGGATCTCTCTCTCTCTCTCTCTCGTTTTCTCGCTCCCTCTCTGTTTCCCTCTCGCGCCGACACCGCTTCCCGCCGTCGCCGCCCAAAACCTCCACCGCCTTCGCCCATTCCCGCGCGCGCCTCGCGAGGTGGCCGACCGGCCGGTCGCCGCCGACGCCATGCGCTGCCGCCTTGCCCCCGCTCCATGCCAAACCGACCGCCGCCGTCATCGTTGACGTCATCCATGGCCCCCCGCCACTCCACGCCGCACCCGTCCAAGAGTGGGAGAAGCAGCTGCTCTCCTTCTCCTCCTCCTCCTCACTCTCCCTCTCCTCATTATGGCAAGGGACCAAGCCCCTTTTTCCCCTTCTTTTTCCCTTTCCCGACCACTGCCGGTGTCACTGCCTCTGTGCCGCTTGACCGACCGCGCCAACTCGCTCTCCTTGATCGCGCCAGCCCGCGCTTCCGCGGTTCGATTTCCGCCGCTCGATCCACCGCCTTCGCCGCCCAACGCATCCACGCCGTCGCCGCTTTCGCACTGCCCACGAAACAGCCGCTGCCGCCCGTGAACACCAGCCGAGCTCCCTTGACCGCCAATGTCGGTTTCCCTCCTCCAAACCGACCTCTCCTCCTCGCCTATAAAGCCCGCGCCCTCCCCTCTCGTTTCGTCTCCGCCTCGCTCGAAACACCCGCGCCTTTGTTGCCGGCCGCCAGCTGCTCGCCCCCGCCCCGCCGTCGCGACCACCTCGCCACGACTCCCTCCGCGTCGCCAACGTTGCTCCTCTCTCGCCGGTGAGCTCCTCGCCCAAATTCTTGCCATTTGCATCATCTCGGATAAGCCCCGAGCCGTTCGGTTGCTCGCTCGTCCCCCTAAACGTGCCGCCCCGCCGTTGCTCTGCTTCGCCGCCGCCGCGCCCGACTGTGCACCGCCATGGGCCCCCTCGCCAATCCATCGCGCCACCACCGTCCTTGAGCTCCCTAGGACCTCCCCAAACCATTCCCTAGCGCCGTCGCCGCCCGGCACGGCCTCGCCGCCATTGCCGCCAGCTCCCGAAGACCGCCTCTCGTCGCCAGCCAATCTCGGTGCCGCTCCATCCAATCCGACGCCGGAAACGGATTCCTTGAACCCCGGAGATGCTCCCACTCCTTTGAATCAAACCCTCGTCGTCTCGTCGTGTTTTCCCCTTTTGCTCTCCGGTGATTGCCGCCGCCGCAATCCACCATCGTCGGCTCCTCTCGCGTCGATTCCTCTCGCCGCCACGCTCCCGGGGATGCCCATGACCTCCCCCTGGCTGCCCCAAGGCCGTCGGCCTTCTCCTTTGTCTCCGCGCCGTGTCGCCGCTTCCGCCGCCGCCTAACGCCGCCGCGCGTGCGTCGCCGGTGACCATCGGGTCCCGCGTCCCCGCGTGCGCATCGCGGTCGCGTACCGTTTCGGCTAGGCCCGAGTCCGCGCCCCCTTGTCCCTTCCCTCGCGCGACCACATCCCCGATCCGACGAGCTTGGTCGCCGCCGCCAGCCACCGTCGTACCTCCCCTCTCAAACCCGTGCCGTTAAACGGATCCCCCCTGACCTCCTCTAGCTGTCGGCGGTGGCCGCTCGCTCCGGTTCGCCGCCGCTCGCCGGAACGCCTCGCGCGTCGTCGGCCGTCCGATCCCGGGCGCCTCCTCCTCCTCCTCCTCCTCCCCTTTCGCCCCTGCCCGCGTGGCTGACCACGTGGCAGCCACCTCAGCCCCGGGCCCGCTTGACTGGGTCAAGTCGCGCCCAGTCAGCCTCCTCCCTCCGTCTTCCCTCCCGTGCGCGCGGTCCACGGCAAGCCGTGCGGCTGCACGTGGGCCCGCCGCCATCCGTCCATCCGGCGCGCCGCGCCCGAACCGCGCGCACCCGAAACCCTAGCGCCCACCCCCGCGTGCGCCCTCCCCACCGTGAACCCAACCCCCGCCATGTGGGTCCCGCGCGGTGGACCGCGCCCACCCCGTCGGGCCTCCCTCTCTCCCCGCGCGCCCTAATGGGCCGCCTCCCCGTGGCCGTGCTCGGCCCAATGGCCGGCTAAGCCTTGTGAATCCCTCGGGCCGCGCCTAAGTCGCCCGAGGAAGTCTAAATCCGATCCCTCCTTCCTTTTCTTTTCCAAGGGAATTAATAATTCCTTTTCCTTGTCCAGAAAATCCATTTAGACCTCCAAAATTCATATCCCTCGATCCGTAGCTCCGATCGCCTCCGTTCCACTTCCAGTAATTCCGTAAAATTGAGATCTATTTAATGGCACTACTAATAGGTCTAAATAGGATCTTTCTTTTGGTCTCTTGTTTAGGTTTTCGATTGTTTGCTATAGTTGCGGTTATCGGATTTTCGTCGATCGCGGGTTTTCTCGAAGATTCGTGAAGCTTCGTGAAGACCTTGAGCAAGGCAAGTCACCCTTTGATCAATCGCCCCTATAATTGAAAAGTCATTATTATTTTGTTTGCAACTTGCATTATTAGAATCACACACTTAACTTGCTTGGCCTCGGTTTGCGTGCCAAACCGACGGATCTACCCAGTAGTCGCACTAATTTCCGTAGGTCGTACTACCCTGATTCCTTGTCGCTCCACCCTTGTGGTACCTCGGTATTCGTGCTCTCTGAGCGCGTATACCAAATATCCCACATACACTGTTGTTTATCGAAAACTTGGGAAATGGGTTTGTGAAGCCTTCAAAACCCGACATGTGGTGTCGGTGTGTTTGAAAATAAAATGAATTGTGAAAACTCGCGATGCGGGGGTTGTGCCTATGTGGCACTGTCCCGTATTCGCATATAAGGACCGATTCCTGTGGGAAACTCATCGAACATAATCAAAGTGCAACCACAAGGTGGAATGGGACACCCTGGCTAAGTAACTAGTCGGTTCAGGGAAACCTCGCATGCCAATAGTTGGGAATGCCGGGGCGGGGTCGGACAAACCGGGTTCCTGGTAAGGCAAGGACGATAAGCTTGCTCACTTACCGATCAAGGTGGTTGGAGTTGATTTGTGAATGCCTAAAATGGCCTATACTTACGTGAGGATTTGATCCTTCTATGTGGCATGAGGTAACCCTGGGTCGGCTTGGGAAAGGCTTTGTCGCGAACCTCTGACACCGGCCAATGTTTGGAGTAAGTTCGTGTCTTGTGGGTAAAGTGTACCCCTCTGCAGAGGTTAACTAACTATTCGAACAGCCGTGCCCACGGTCATGGGCGGATGTGAGGTGGTTCCCGTTGCGTAGATTTGTTTGCCTGTGCTTTGTGAAAAGTTGTTGTGGTGTGGGAATCGTAACCAGAATCAGCCTATGTGGCAGATGGATGACCCGAGTGGTCAGAAACGAATCTGTGTGATTCGGGATGTCTGTGGGCATCATAGACTAGGCTTCCCGAGTGGAAGCGGATTGCTTTGCTGCTGGGCAGCTGGACTCTGGGAGTCCGCAAAAACAAATAAGGCTCTGGGAGCCGCTTAATCAAGTGAAATGGCTCTGGGAGCCGAGAAGTAATGATCTGACCCGGGAGGTCGGTACATTTCCAATTGAGCTGTTGAAAAGCATCTCTTAAGTCGATTTGAGACGCAAGTCTCTTTTTGACCCAAACTTCAAAAGAAATAAATCACTTAGTGATTTCAAAATGTTTTCAAATAAAAGATTTGCAAAACAACCTTGCCTCTCTTCCAAGCTTGCATTAAACACCTAAGTTCCCGTGACTTGCTGAGTACGAAAGTACTCACCCTTGCTCTATATAAATATATATATATAGTTCCTCCGCCCTGAAGAGATGATGAAGTGAAGTAAAGAATAGGGTTTCGCCCTGGTTCCCAGCCATCGCCTGTGGTGTTGGGTGTTAGACCGTTGGTTCCGCTGCTGCTGTTGTTGCCGTGTCGTCGGTTGTATTCTCGGGCTATCTGAGCTGCAACCTAAGTTAAGGTAAATAAGTCCTCTACTTATTTTAAGGATTGCTATGATTCATATTTGTCACCGTGGGTACCAGCACTATGTCCTGGGACTGGTACCGAGATCGCGGTTTCGTAGGAAGCGGTTTGCGCCGTTTTCCCTACGATACGCTCCTGTCAGGTGCCGTTGTACGGCGGTATCAGATTGGGGTGTGACAATATCATATCGAACGTTTAAACACCTACATAAAGTATTAAATATAGACTAAAAAATAACTATTTGCATAGATTGCGATTAATTTGCGAGACGAATTTTTTAAGCCTAATTGCTCCATGATTTGACAATGTAGTGCTACAGTAAACATTTGCTAATGACGGATTAATTATGCTTAATAAATCCGTCTAGCTGTTTACTGACGGATTCTATAATTAGTTTTTATTTTAGTGTCCGAACACCCTATACGACACCATGTATAACATTTGATCTGATAAGTCAGAACTTTACGCCGTTATATCTAAACACCCCCACTGAGTGACTGGTGAGGGGGCTATGTATGAACATTTGTGTATGGGTCAGCAGCTTCTGAAAAGTGGAGTAAAAACTGGTTGAACTAACAGTGGTAATAAAATGTGGTCGATAGCGAGGGAGGGCGATGGATTAATGAGAGGTCAGGTGGATGCAGGATACAGGGGCGGGGCGGGGGCACCCCCCAGCACAGGCACGAGAAAAAAAAAAGAGAGAGAGGTAGCTGAAATTGAAAAGGATCCATTGCCCATGGATCGCCTGCCTGCCTGCAGAAAACATGATTGAAATTTTTTGCGCGGACAAATGCAAAGTCACCATACCACAGTGCGTGGCTACTGGTTACTATTACTGATCGAAGTCCAAGCTAGGAGTACTACTAGCTAGCAATGAAAGGAAGCGAGCGAGCGAGATCATGCAGTGCTCTGGTCGATCATGCAGTGCTCTGGTCTGGGCCTGTCGTCTGAGCTGAATTGAATGAATACTACAAATGCAAAAGAGGATCGGATCGAGAGGAGGTAAGGTAAATGTAAAATGTAAATGCGGTGCTCGGTGTGGTAGGTGATGAGATTCAATGAGATGCTAGCTGCGGCCATGCAGCACGGCTTCCTTAATTGTGTAGCTTCATCATCCCATCCATATCCATCGTTCCTGCATGCGCTTGCAACTTGGAAGCAAATCGCTCGATCAGGCAGATAATTGACTCCCCTGGCATTGACATGGCCTTCCCATCGAATCGAATCGATCGATCCTACGGAGTAGTATATTTAGCTTGGATTTCTCAAGAACACCTAGTACAGTACTAGCAGTACACTTGGTTAGGCGAACGGAACACAACGCAACGCAGTGGATCTCATTTCACTCGCCCGCGCGCAAGCGCAATAAATAGGTGAGGCTGGCCGGAGGAGCTTCAGCTAGCTGAGGTCAGTAGCTAAGCTCCTCTGCTCATGCCCCATGCTATTACTATAGCAGCAGGCTGCCCATCCCCCACGCATCCGATCCCCGCTCGCGGTCGGAGCTAGCAACGATCGAGCTGACCTTCTCTCTTCTCTATCTACTGATAGATCGATGGCGAAGCGGCGGCGGCGGTGGCGCCGGCAGCGGTGCTGCTCGTCGGACCCGCCGCTAGCAGTGGCTGCTGCTGCGCTCCTCCTCCTCCTACTCGTCGTCGTCACTGCGGCGCCGGTGGTGGACGCCGCCGCTGCTGGCCGCCACGTGGTCCAGAGGCATCTGGACAGGATCAACAAGCCGGGCGTGCGGTCCATCCACAGCGCGGACGGCGACATCATCGACTGCGTGCCTCGCCACAAGCAGCGCGCGCTCGACCATCCGCTCCTCGCCAACCACACCGTCCAGACGCAGCCGTCCCAGATGCCGGCGTCGGCGTCTCTCCTTGACCGGCGCCAGCAATTAAGCCGGCGGGCGTGGCAGACGTGGCACCACTCGGGCCACTGCCCCAGGGGCACGGTGGCCGTCCGCAGGACCGCCGCCGCGGACGTGCAGCGCGCTCGCTCCCTCGCCCTCTTCGGCCGCAAGAAGCAGATGAGGAGCCCGCTGCCGGCGCCCGACGTCGTCACCGGCAACGGCCATGAGGTACGTACAGTGCGTCGATCGATCGTACGTCGTCGGTCCAATTAGTTAACGATGCATGCGATTGGGAACCTACGACAGCACGCGATCGCGTACACGGCGGCGGAGGTGTACGGGGCGCGGGCAACCATCAGCGTGTGGGCACCGGAGATCGACGAGGCCAATGGCTTCAGCCTCTCCCAGCTCTGGATCCTCTCCGGCTCCTTCAACGGCTCCGACCTCAACAGCATCGAGGCCGGATGGCAGGTCCCTCCTCCTCCTCCTCCATCCCTACTAGCTCAAACTCATTAATAATTTGCAATTAACCTAGCTTGCACCTCGCTCGCTCACACCTATGCATTTTTCATTTGCACTCACTCCATGGCGGCTCCATGCTAGCTACTCTAGCCATTGGAGCAGTATAGGAGTAATTCGTGGTGGTCAACACCCACCCACCACACCACATCCACATGCGCGCATCAGTTCTTAGATCAGCTGTAATTAATCAGCGGAGGCACATGCCGTCATAAATGCATGTCCCGGTCCATCCAACATCATATCATCATTTACTTAGGGCATGTTTGGTACAGCTCCAACTCCTAAATTTAACTCCAGGAGTTGGGTCTGGAGTGGAGTTGTGGAGCTGCCTAAACCCAGCTCCACAACTCCAGTTCATTTTATGAGAGAGCTCCACCCAACTCCACTCCCAGTTTTGGTGGAGCTGAAACTATTTGGCTGAGCTCCAGCTCCAGAAGGGGTGAAGCTGGAGCTGGAGCTGTGCCAAAAAGGCCCTTACTGTTTACCACTCCATTCCATATAGTTTACTCCATTCCAGTAAACTCTACTCCTCGATCGTAGTACGCACTAGTCTGTCCTCCTCCTCCGGGGGTAATTATATTACTTCGATCATACATGTACTAGTACTGATCTTGTTTATTTGAACGACACTACTGCTCTTGTTAATACAGGACTTCTCCGGGGTAATCTATCTATTATATTATTAAGACATATTATTAAGACAGCTCAAAAAAAATACCACGTTCACCGTAGAAGTCTAGAAATTACCACGTTAATCGGAGAAAAAGAAAAAAAATTCGACCGCTTGATCATTGATAGCCTATATTTTAATGGCTGAGATTTAATTAAATTTTGAGAAGATTAGACTTGTTTCACGTAGACGGACATACCAGGCACTATAAACCAGACATACATATCAGACACGGATTGACATGTGCAGTAGTAATAGGACACCAATACGGATTGACATGTGCAGGATTTTTAGAATTTGTATTATGTGTAGTATACGGATTAACAGCTTTGAAAGGAGGCACCACGTTTGCTGTGGGGGTTAGAAATTCCCACATTAATCAGAAAAAAAAGAAAAGAAGAGTCTAAGTAGAAATACAATTTAAAAATAGCTGAAATTGAAAGAGGAGTCCATATAATAACCCGATACGAGATTAATCGAAATTCGGAATAAAAATAAAATAAAATCCGAAATTATAAAAGAAAAGAAGAGTCCAAGTAGAAATACAATTTAAAAATAATTAAAATTCGGAATTAAAAATAAGGTATATTGATAGAAGAGTCCATATAGGAACCCAATACGAGATTAATTAATATTCGAAATAAAAATAAAAAAAATCCAAAATTAGCAAAAAGAAAAGAAGAGTTCAAGTAAGAATACAATTTAAAATTAACTAAAATTCAGAATTAAAAATAAGCAATATTGAAAGAAGAATCCATATAAGAAACTCAATACGAGATTAATTAAAATTTTGAATAAAAATAAAATAATATCCAAAGTTAGAAAAATTAAAAGAGAGTTCAGGTAAGAATACAATTTTGAAACAACTGAAATTCAAAAGTAAAAAATAAAAATATTAAAAGAAAACTATACGGTATTAATTAAAATTTGAAAAAAATAAATTCTGAAGTTAGAAAAAGAAAAAAGATTTCAGTTAGGAATAGTATTTATAAATAACTAAAATTGGTGATAAAAAATAAAGACTATTGAAAAAAAAGACCATCTAAAACACATGACGAGATAAATTAAGTACCAGGCCTATAAAGGAGTAAAGTGGTGGCGGTTGATACGACATATAAAAACTGTTAATAAAACACCAAATAGAATCCTAATGACGATTAAAAGGTGGGGCGGCAGGCAGCCCGTGAAGCAAACATAAAAGGCGGTTGCCGAGACTTCTATAAAGTAAAAAAAATAGACCCCATTGATAATCATATCCGACTTTTAAAATCTCAATGACAATAAAAAGGAGAAGCAACGGGTGGGGTGTATAGCAGTATAGTTGCAGAACCGCCGACGGTTGGTGGGACTTTAAAAAATAAAAACTGAATTCCAACGATAGTTATGTTTGATTTTTAGAATCCCAATGACAATAAATAGTAGGCAGCGGATGGGCCGTAAAGAAGTATAGTGGCATCGTTTGACGGGACTTTTAAAATTTATAAAAAATTAAACCCAACAGGACAATAAACTCTAAAAACTAAAGGTCCAATTTTTAAAGATTTAGAACTTCTAAAAAGTAAAAAAAACAATGATAATCATATTTAATTTTAAAATGTCAATGACAATAAAGAAGGGATGCAGTGGGCGAGCCATGAAGGAGTACAATAGCAAAGCTGCTGACGGTTTGGCGGGACTTCTGTAAAGTAAAAAATTGAATCCCGAACGATAATTATGTTCGATTTTTAAAATCCCAATGAAAATAAAGAGGGAAGACTGTGGACGTGTCGTAGAGGAGTATAATGACAGCGTTTGACAGGACTACCCAACAAGAGAATAAACTCTAAAACTATAAGATCCAATTTTTTAATATTTCAAGAAAAATGAATAGAAATAGTGATAGATCGAGTAAGCAAATAAAAAAAAGATATAACAAAAGTAAGAGGTAGTAACTGGTGTGACTTTTAAAAACTATATAATTAGAAATAGAGAGACGATAAGGTTTGGTCTTTCGAAGTTTTAAGACAACGAGATATTTATTTAATAAATTTTAAGTAAAATCATACTGAAAAATATATGATTTTGTTTGGGGGCTAGCCGCGCAATTGCGCGGGCCACCCAGCTAGTTATATATTACTAGTTCATATACGAGCTAGTATGGTAGAACCTCTGTTCATATTCGTTGTCTGATCCATCGTAGTAACATTTTGGGACGGAGGCAGCTAGTAGTATGTACTACATGCATCAGCTAGCGACAGTGATCGTTCACTCTAGCTTAATTAGCTTACTCCTTTAGCTACTCTCCTTCCATTCCCAGGCTCACCGCTATAGGAAGGCTTTGGCTTTTTCAGACTCTCCCTGCAACGGCAATGCGTAGGACTAATGATCCTCGTCTAACACCATTCATTAGCTAGCGCTACTATAATTACGAGTACATACAGCCATCATTCATTGCAAGCACGCATGATAGAGCACTGTCATCATTATGATTCATGTCAATATGCAAGGTAAAACTGGAGCATAGGCATGGTTTAGTTTTCAACTTTTTCTTCAAACATTTAACTTTTTTATCACATTAAAATTTTTCTACATATATAAACTTCTAACTTTTTCGTCACATCGTTTCAATTTCAATCAAACTTCTAATTTTAGCATGAACTAAACACATCCATAGTACTATATATACTCCTAGGAGTATTAATTCATACTAGTAGTAGTATTGAGCAGAGCTGAGCATATATATAATTGGATCTAAATCTGAATCTGAAGCATTTGCATGTTTCCTTCCTTGTAGTCAGGTCAGCCCTGAGCTGTATGGGGACAACAGGCCGAGGCTCTTCACCTACTGGACAGTAAGCCGATCGATCGACTAGCTAATCTAAGAGAGTGTTTGGGAACTAGGGAGTAAACTTTAGCCCTTTTTTTAAAAATATAAGTCCCTACTCTAGAGACTTATATTTTTAAGTTTAGCCCCTCTCTCCTAAACACCCCATAAATCAACTACTACTAATTAATCCAACAAATATATATATATATATGTATATATATATATATATATATATATATATATATATATATATATATATATATATATATATATATATATATATGTATGTATGTATATATGCAGAGCGACGCTTACGAGGCGACGGGGTGCTACAACGCTCTGTGCCCGGGGTTCGTGCAGACGAGCTCGCGGATCGCCATCGGAGCCTCCATCTCGCCGGTGTCGTCGGTGGGAGGGCCACAGTACGACATGACGCTCCTGGTGTGGAAGGACCCCAAGCTCGGCAACTGGTGGCTCAGCTACGGCGACGGCGCCGGCGGCCTCGTCGGCTACTGGCCCGCCGAGCTCTTCACCCACCTCTCCGACCACGCCACCATGGTCGAGTGGGGCGGCGAGGTCGTCAACACCCACCCGCCCGGCTCCGCCCACACCGCCACGCAGATGGGCTCCGGCCACTTCGCCGCCGAGGGCTTCGGCCGGGCCGCCTACTTCCGCAACCTCGAGACGGTGGACGCCGACAACAGCCTCGCCGCGGTACCCCTCGACGCCATCCAGACAATGGCGGAGGACGCCGGCTGCTACGACATCCGCAAGGCCTACGACGACGACGACGGCCGAGGCGGATGGGGCGCACACTTCTACTACGGCGGCCCAGGCCACAATACGGCCTCTTGCCCCTAAGCGCTTATTAATTAATTACCTCATCCAATATTCATCATCACGTCTCCATCTGTAATGTCGTCATGCAATTCGATCCATATCCTCCTCGGCTCCTCCGCTTGGTCTCCTCCTCATTTTCCCATGCTAATCGCAATGCAACGTACGTGCTGAAAGCCCTTCAATTTTTATTTTTTTTAATTAAATACCCACAAACGTCAGCGTTAAAACACACCCTACCTAAGGTAAAACCTCGCTAAAAATTCTTATGGTAAACACACTTACTAAAATTATTATTTTTAATTTAGAGTCCGAGTTTAATTTAGATATTTATTTTGGAGAAAACCCTATAAACACAAAACCGACGCCCTTACATAAATATAGGGGACCAAGATAAATTGAAACAACCACCAATCAATCAATCTATTATCAATACCCTCCATATTCTACATCTCCATTATTCTTGCTATCTAAACCCCAAGTATACTCACCCCTCAATCTCTAAATTTCTCGTCGTCTCTCGTCTTTACGGCGTTAGAGGACGTGCCACCTGACTTATCGAGTCTAAGACAAACTGGCGCGAGTTCACCCTAACAGGTCCCTCTCGGGTGTTTGCTCGGCAACATCTACCACTTCTTACGATGGCGTGTCTTTCTCTCAATTTCTTGTCGTCTCTCGTCTTTATGGCGTTAGAGGACGTGTGTCACGCTTAGAAATGATGTAACATCCCAGCCTAAGGCTTAATAGGAATAATAGAATACTCATATAAACAAGTTGTAACTTCTTTTCCAGAAGCCGATAAGGTTAAGCGTGCTTGGTCTGGAGCAATTTCGGGATGGGTTACTGATCGAGAAATTCTTCCCGAGTGCGCACGAGGACAAAGCGTGCAGAAAAGACTTGTGTTGGTCTGTGAGGGCAGTCTGTGACCTATAAAAGCTATCATATGTAAGTGGGTCTGGCCTAGGAGAGGCAGGTCGTTATTACAACGTGCCACCTGACTTGCCGAGTCTAGGACAAACTAGTGCGAGTTCACCCTGACAGGTCCCTCTCAAGTGTTTGCTCGGCAACATCTACCACTCCTTATGATGGTGTGTCTTCGGGTGCTACTGCAAGTTGCACACTACGTCCTTAAGGTATGATGGTGCAATTCGGACAAACTGGTGCGAGTTCACCCTGATAGGTCCCTCTCGGGTGTTTGCTCGGCAACATCTACCACTCCTCACGATGGCATGTCTTCGGGTGCTACTGCAAGTTGCACACTACGTCCTTAAGGTATGATGGTGCAATTCGGCGTCAATAATATGGTGCATCTAACCACGGGGGTTCAAAACATTTTCCCTTATAAAGTCTTCAAATATATACAAAAACACACCATTCCAAAATTGAAAGGCCAAACTCTGGATGCAAGGAATGCTTACTATTTTAGCAAGTGCATATCTCCAAGCTTTCAAATTGTTCATCCAAAATCATGTTGGTTTTTTTCTTAAGCATCAGTCAACAAGAAGAAGCTTAGAAAATTGTGGTTCTTATTGTAGCCCTAAACCGTCGAACAAACTTAGGAAGGCAATTGGCCAAACTTGCCAGAAAGACTGGGCGAGGGCAGGAAGGTGGTCAAGGAATATAATATAGGCTCCTTGCTACAGGCCTCCATCGCTCCCTACCTCCCCTTAGTTACCACCCTGAAACTCATGAGGACTGACTTATCCTGATAGTTATACATCCATATCGGGTGCCTCATCCAGTATAAAAAATTCTGTCTATCATCTCTTACTTTCGATCTCACATATACTTTAGTATAAATGTACCATACTTCCCTAAAATACTGTCGTGGAGTCCAAACCTTCGACAATAGGTACTAAACCAAACAAACCATAATATCTATATCTATACCTAATTAAAAAATATGTAAGGATTCTAAGACTATTTTCATCTGTTGCCGCCATCATCATACGTATACACGGTTTTGTTGAGGCAAAACAGAATCTGACTGGAAACTCTAGGGTTCGCTTATTTAGGATAGGGCTCGATTCCGAGCTCGATACAATCTGGTTTTCCTCCGATTCTTGGGAAAACGGAAAGAGGAGGAGATAAGGATCGAAACCCCTCAATCAATTTTGCATTTTCTCCAAGGATGTGGCTGGATTCCATGGAGGAGGCGTTGGGCTGATGCGGGAGTCCCCCGACGGCAGGGGACGACCCTGTAGCATTGGGACCCACGCAAATAGTGAGAGGTGATCAGGGGAGGAGTGTTAGACTTGTTGTTGTTTGATAGGCTTGAAGCACGCTTGTGGGCCGAAGGAGGAGGAGAGGAGAAGGGAGGAAAGCAGGTCGGCTTGGCTGCAGACTCAGGAAAGAAATAGGATGAAAATGGCCCATAGAGAAAGAGGGTTTTTATTTAGATTGTTATTTAAATAAACGCTGAAATAATGTTTGTATTACTAAAATTAGCAATCGAGCTCTGAAAATTCTGAAAAAAAAATTCAGATAGTGTGATTAATCATGGAGAATTTAGTAAAAGTTAAATCTAGCCATATTTTATTTGAGAAATTTTATTTACCACATTTACTTCACTAGTATAAATACTATAAATAATTTATTAAATGATTTATAAATCCATGAAACCAAAATCAAGGTGCGACAGTTCATCCTGTTCTCTATTTGGATTAGGATGATACATACGTATGTCCATGTCGCTCACAAGAGTCGCATCATTCAAATTTCTGTTGTCGCTGCTCATCAAAATAGAGATCAATGAGATCAATTCAATGAAAGTGAATTGATGAAAACATGTCCCTGAGATATGTGAACTCAATGATGTCATCTTTTTTTAGAGGGGATGTGCAACTATGACACAACATTACATGCAACTCCAATCGTTCGTCTGGGCATTTCCGATTTGACCGCGTGTTCCCATCCATGGCGGTCTCGCGACCAAAACGAGCTAGTCCCAACGTCCCACGCACGACTGCTTCGTCAAGCCACTCCAAAACTAGATAGTACGGTGATGTTAGATCTACCATATAGTCAGACTAGTCGAGTATTCACCTTGATATAAATAAATAAATAAATAAATAAATATATATATATATATATATATATATATATATATATATATATATATATAGTTTCTTTATATATAGAAGATGATGACATTTGTATTATAATTAATTACATAAAGTAAATCTTTCTCAACTTTTCCTTAATTTTCTCGTATTTTTTTTCCGTTGTAACGTATAGGCACTTTTTCTATTATATCTCTACTATTATAAAAATTGAAGATGTTTTTTGCCAATATTTTGGTACATCATCCGTGTTTGAGTTAGTTTTTAAGTTCGTTCGCTTTTGGAAATACAGATCCGTGTTTGAGTTGGATTATACGCTCGTTTGCTTTTGGAAATTTAAAAGGAATCATATAAGAAATATCTTAAAAAAACTCATGCTAACTTGAGATAAAATACGGACTCTTAATTTCAACTCATGATTTTCTAAAAAATATATTCAAGCGCCCTAACTAAACCGTACAACAATTATAAAATTAAAATTGCATTTACCCGTTGCAACGCACGGGTATTTTTCTAATATATATAAACATTTAACCAGGTGGTATTTAAGCAATTTTTTGTTAGATGGAAAAGGAGAGGAGAGGAAATGAGAGTTGATAGGGAAATTGGAAAGGGATTGAGCGTGAGGCGGATCCAGTGTGGAAACGATGGGGGAGGAAGCTTCCTCGTCGTCCTTTGTTGGGTTGGGTTGGGTTGGGTTGGGTCCGTCCGATGAATGTGAAGAAATCCAAGACTGACGAGACGACAGGGCCGGTGCGGTGCGACGGCGGTCGGCTTCGGCTTCTTCGTTTCCATCGCCGGCGGCGGCGCCTCCTTCCCTTCCCTTCCCTTCTATGCGCGGCCTCCTCCGCCGTGTCTACCTCCGCCTCCCCCCTTTCCCTCCTGCCACCTCTCTTTATTATTGGTCAAGAACAAGACCTGCAGCTGCAGGGCCCAACCACCCCATCCCTAGGCGCATGTCGACGTCCTCTACTGCCGCGGCGGTCGTTGCCGAGGGCTCCGCCGCTCGCCGCTTCTGGATCGCCGCCGCCTCGAGGGAGGCCGCCTTCGCCGCCTACACGCCCTTCCTCGTCTCCCTCGCCGCCGGGGCCCTCCGCCTGGATTCCTTCCGCCAATACATCGCCCAGGATGCCTACTTCCTCCACGCCTTCGCCCGCGCGTACCTACTTCTCCCTCTCTCTTACAGTACCAAACATCGAGATTCCGATTTCCATGGATCTGATTGATTAATTTTGATTGGAGCAGCTATGAGATGGCCGAGGAGTGCGCCGATGACGACGACGACAAGGCCACCATCGTCGTCCTCAGGAAGGCCATCCTCCGCGAGCTCAACCTCCACGCTTCCGTCCTTCAGGTCCCTCCTACTCTTATTCCCCATTCTCCCATCATCTATCTATTCTTCGGGATCCCCCCACCAACCACAACCCCTGCCTCATTTCATTTCGACTTGCTTCCTTCTAGTTTTACACCTCTGCAAGCTTTGTGCAAACCACCTAGCCGATCTAACTTGATTACTGCATACAATACATACTATGGTGGATACAACACATGCATTTCTAGCCGCTTACACTGCTAATTCTAGCTTGTTCATACCATACAGTCCATACTACATCATCAACCTTATGGCATCCACATACCAAGTACAATTGCCTCTTCCTATGTACTACTGCTTTTGATTTCAAAACCAAAAAAAAAAACTTCAGGCATGCATTTTAGCATTGCGATATGCATGTTTCATCTATATTTCCGGCTCTAGTTAACTAAATCATCCGTGAAGATCTCAAATATGCAAAATATACAATTCCTTGCCACGAGTACACCTCAGAATCATACATCCACAACTAAAGTGCTACCAAGTGCATTGCCATTTCAATCGGGGACTTGTGGCTCCTAGAGATGAATCACAAGTTCGCTACATGCCGCACGATGAAATCTGCATGTATGTAGTCTTTTGTCTGTGGCATAAACCAAATAGCCTTTTTCCTTCCAACTAGCCAATTTCCTTTTACTCCGATTTTCTCATCACTCATATCAGTTGCCTTAACTATATAATTTGCAGGAATGGGGAGTCGATCCCAACAAAGAAATCCCTCCAATCCCAGCCACAACTAAGTACACTGATTTCTTACTTGCAACTTCCACTGGAAAGGTTGATGGTGGGAAAGGTTCTGATAAAATGGTCACACCATTCGAGAAGACGAAAATTGCTGCATACACTGTTGGGGCTATGACCCCATGCATGAGGCTTTATGCGTATCTGGGCAAAGAACTTGCAGTTTTCTTGAAACAGGATGAAAATCACCCATACAAGAAATGGATTGAGACTTATGCATCCAGTGATTTTGAGGTATGGAATCGGAAGGCCGTGTCTTTTTATATTTAATTATTGATCCTACTGGCTTTTGCTTTGGTGCAGCTGGTTCATGCGCTGAAATTCTCTCCGTTTCCTCTTTTAAACAGAATAACGCACTCCAAATAGAAGAGTTGCTTGATAAACTAAGTGTCTCTCTAACTGGCGAGGAGCTTGAGATTATTGGGAAGCTCTACCAGCAAGCTATGAGGCTGGAAGTTGAGTTCTTCTCTGCTCAGCCAGTAGACCAACCTGTTGTAGCTCCACTCTCAAGATATTGTGGTCCGAAAGATAAGCTCTTGATATTTTGTGATTTTGATTTGACATGCACTGTTGTTGATTCATCTGCCATTTTGGCGGAGATTGCAATCTTGTCACACCAAAAGGCTAGTCAAGGTGGGGCTGATAGTTCCCTTGATCGTACAAAATCAGCGGACTTGAGAAATTCATGGAACATGCTCTCAAATCAATACATGGAAGAGTATGAGCAATGCATAGCAAGCTTGCTTCCTCCAGAAGAAGGTAAATTAAATCATCTCCCCTTGTTTCTGCTGAAAATTTGTGATTTACCAACTATACATAAATCAATCTTGCAAAGACCCTGCTGATGATTTAGGTAATTTGTTTTGTTTAATTCCAGCAAGGTCACTAGACTATGATCAACTGTATAAAGGTTTGGAGGTGCTATCGCAGTTTGAGAAACTTGCAAACTCTAGGGTGGTTGATTCTGGTGTCCTGAGGGGAATGAATTTAGATGACATCCGAAAAGCTGGAGAGAGGCTTATTCTGCAAGATGGATGCAAAATTTTTTTTCAAAAGATTGGCAAAACAAGGGAGAACCTCAATTTAGATGTCCATATTCTTTCCTATTGCTGGTGCGCAGATCTTATAAGGTCAGCTTTTTCATCAGGTAGGACTAAAAACCCTTGGTCAGTCATTCTTTCTTTTCTGATGATGTTAGCTGCTGCTAAGCTTATTTTGCTAGCCTGTGCTACTTATAGGCTTATGACTAACATCTCAGTATTGTTATTGCTAGAATTGTTTTAGTAGATATCTTTTACTTTCTTTTTTTGAAACAACCCACACAAGATAGTGCGGCTATCACAATGACCCTTGTGAGTTGTGACCAACTATCATTTAGAGTTCGGAGCTTGGTCGGTTATGTTTACCATGATATGATTTGATCACCATTGCATCAACTGTATTTTGGTGATTAGTACATTAAAACTGGAGTCGTGAACTGATAATAACTATTTGTGTCTTGTGATGATTGTGCACAGTTGGTTGTCTAGACGGGCTGAACATACATTCAAATGAGTTTGCTTTTGAGGGATCTGTTTCAACTGGTCATATTAACAGACAAATGGAGTCTCCTCTGGACAAAGCTGAAAAGTTCAAGAGCATCAAAAGCGACGTGGGTAGTACAGGGACATTATTGTCAGTCTATATTGGGGACTCGGTTGGAGATTTGCTTTGCTTGTTGGAGGCAGATATTGGTATTGTTGTTGGATCAAGCACAACCTTGCGGAGAGTGGGCAAACAGTTTGGTGTTTCATTTGTTCCTCTGTTCACTGGGTTGGTAGAGAAGCAGAGGCGAATAGAAAAGGAAGAATCATCCATCTTCAAGGCACGGTCTGGAATTCTTTATACGGTTTCTAGCTGGTCGGAGGTACAGGCTTTCATCCTGGGAAATGATTTCAGCTGATTGCTGGTGGCCTTGTGAATCGTTTTCCTTGGCAAACAAGTGTACAAGACTGGTGCCAATTGATGGACTTGATACGAGTAAAACTCGATGTGGCCATTTTATTAAAGCCGCATGCGTGCCGACTCTCTTCCTGTACGAATGAATTGAATACCTTGTGTTGTGCGATGGTTTTGTATGATCAATGTGTCATTGATTACACAATCGATGGACCCCTTTTCATTCGGGGGTCATTTCATATATATATTTTTACTTTAATTTCCGGAGTGTTTCCTGGCATTGCAACATAGTGATGCACCCGAGTGTAACTGTAGAGATGGTGTTTGTAGCAATAAAAAGTTGATTGCTGGAGTGGTCATCCATATTATGCTAGAGCCTGCATGTTCAGGGATGATTGAACCTTACAGGCAAACATAACATTATTCTCATATGTATAACGATTTGCACGTACGCAATATATATATCCCTCGATCTTTATTTGCATGCATACATATGTATATTGCATTGCTTGGGAGAATTACATTATCAATTATACTAGCTATATATAGCGTAGTTAATTATAGTATAGGCGGCATATATATAAAATTAGAGATATATATAGCGAGGTTGGTCGATATGTATGGGCCGGATGATGGCGGGCGTTCATGGCGCAGCAGCAGCAGTGGCGGCGTCCATGGCGAGGATGGTAGAGAGGTTGAAGGGGTGCATGTAGTCGGGCGAGGCTGACATGAACTGGCTGACGATGATGCGGTTGGCCCTCTCGGTGGGGTGGAAGTTGTCCCAGAAGACGTAGAGGGAGCGGTCGGGGCAGAGGGTGGAGAGCGCGGTGCAGAGGCCGACGCCGTTGTAGGGGCCCTGCCCGCAGCACGCCACCTTGGAGGTGGCGAAGCCGTACGCCGCCGGGTCGGAGATGAAGTCCATGTGCATCCTGTAGGCGTTGACGGCCACGAAGACGTCGCCGGCGCCCAGCTCGGCGTTGAGCTCCCGCGTCATCCGCACCAGCTGCAGGTTGTACAGCGCCGCCGCGCGCTGCAGCTCCAGGTCGCACTCGCCGGTGGCGCTGCGCGTGGCTAGCTCCGCCGGCGCGCACCCCAGCGGGCCGGAGCCGGTGACCAGCACTCGCCTGGCGCCCAGGTGGTAGAGCTGCCTCAGCACCTTGCCGTACTCGCCGATGATGTAGCGCACGTAGTCCGGCAGCGCGAACTCCCGGGACCTGGCTGAGAATGGCACCAGGTAGTAGTTGTTGATGAAGTCGTTGCCGCCGAGCGTGATGAGCACCAGCGCGCCCTCCACCAGCCGCCGCGCCGCCGCGCCACCGATCAGCCCGCGCACCCGATCCTGGTACTGATTGAAGTACCGAAGCTGCTTCTCGATGCGGATGATGTTGGCCTTAATTTCATTCAATATATATATATTTCTTATTAATTAGTTCCATTTTATGCATGCATATAATTAATTAATTAAGTACTAGCAGCAGCAGCAGCAGCAGCTTATTATTACAAACTGGATGCCGGTGTCGTTGAGGATGCCGACGCCGGCGGAGGCGAAGTTGGCGCCGTGGAGCAGCTTGGGTCCGTCCAGGTGCGGGCTGAGGTAAGGCAGCACGGATTCGGCGCCGAGGTACTCGCTGATGATGTCGGGGACGTTGAGGCCATTGGAGAAGCGCCCCGTGGCGCGGTGGGTCGGGTAGTCCACGCCGTAGGGCGGCGAGTCCGCCCGCGCCGTCGTCATCAGGTAGTTGTTGTTGCCGCTGTCCACCAGCGAGTCGCCAAACACGAAAAAGGCTCGCGGCTTCGCCTCGCACTCGCACACCACCGCTGCTGCGACTGCGACCACCACCACCACAATGGCAGCGCCTGCCCCTGCCCCTGCCCCTGCCCGATGATGATATTGTTCACTGTACTCGCGGCGCCCCATCTATAAGATATACTGTATGTACCAGGCAGCAGCTGAGGATTATATATATATAATTAATTTGCTGCTAGCTATCTGCATACTACATATGCTTGCTGCCTGGGGATATATATGGGTATTTATAGCCGGCCGGGAGCACTGCATACATACATGCATGATTGCTCCATCGATGCAGCAAACCAAATGTACCGTACGTGCCTGCACTTGTCGGTGTAACTTAACTAGCTAGGCTAGCTGCTGTAACAGCATTGTATTATTGTGCATGCACAGATCGATCGATGCGCCGCAAGAGAGCCCATCATTCTCACCCCTCACTCGGGCAAGTGCAACCGCACAGCTATCTCAACCTGAATGAATGAATATTACTACTCCGCAACATACATACACCAAGTGAGTTTGAGTCCCTACGTAACAAACGCACCGCATTTTTCAGGCCATTCAATCCTTCCCTCGCTGCCGCTACGTTCGTCTCGTCGGTGAATAAATTGTTCGTTCGTTCTCAGTCCCACCGGGAGATTGCATGCACGTACCGGAGTGGACTTGCTCACGGTACGTGCATACGCATGGACCGGCTAAATCAACATACTACTGGGTGTGTTTAGTTCATGCTAAAATTAAAAATTTGGTTGAAATTAGAACGATGTGACGGAAAAATTAGAAATTTATATATGTAGAAAAGTTGAAAGTTTGAAGAAAAAGTTTAGAACTAAACAAGGCCTACTCCTATTTTTGTTAACAAATCAAAATCCTCTTATCAAGCCCTGTTCGCTGGATCCAGCACAGACTACAAAACCCAGCATATCAACACATCCATTTCACAGCAAACCTCTTTTCTCAGCTACATCTCCTATCACGGATCCAACGCACAGCCAGGTAATACTCTGTTGCTATAAACGCATAACCAAGACATAATAAGAAAAAAAAAGGCAAGTTTTTGTGTTCGCATTTTTTTCCTCTCCCAAGTTCACCGGTGGATACACATTAGTCAAAATTCCCTAGCTGATCAAGGGAAGCGGTTACATAAAATGTGCATTGAATTAGTAAACATGGCTAACAAATCTCATTACACGACTGCTCAAGTCATTGAAACCTCAGATATCCAGTATAGCAAACCATGTTCAATGTTGTCATGAGTTGTTGACGTCGATATCCAGCTCTGACAGCATGGTAGCTAGCTCCCCTTTGCGATGAAGCTTCACAGTATCTACAACACCAGGAGGGGAACACCAACGTGAGCAACAGGAAGTAACACGAGTATTTCCTGCTTCAGCACAAGTACAAAGTGCAATGCATTGGTCGCTAAAGAAATGTGCATGTCCTGGCTTTTTACAATTTTGTGCTTGCAACAAAAAAAAATGCTAGGGCATCACAATATGGAAGACAATGCATGGCACATGCCAACTACTAAAAAAAAATTATTCCTCGCAAAAAAGGAAGATGAGAATCTCCCAGTGACCCACCTTGTAATGCAGATGGACAGCAAGTAACAGAATGGTCCTATTGAGATGGTCAAAGAGCATTAATTCATCATAACCTAGTTGATTTCTCTATTTCCGTGATTCTAAAGTAGAACAGCATCCATCCACAGCTAAACCCGATTGCAGCAACAATAAACAAAAGAAATTATGTCCCTCAATCCACATAACCATAATACCCAAGGAGCATTGTTGCATATCATGAATATGTAATACTGGTGACAGCGTTGTAGAAGAAATGTGGCTAATAATAATTCAACAAAGAGAACAAAGGTAGACAACATACCTGTACAGCCACCAATGTGCTTTCCACCTGAAATGAAAATAAGGCAATTAGGCAAGTGAATTTGGTATGGCAATATAGCTTGTCAACAGTCAAAGGACGAACATATGCATGTGTATTGTGTACATATGAAAAACATAGGGATGCTTGTCAACAAAGTCATGTACAAAGAGGGGGGGGGGGGAAGCTAGGTAAAACTCAAATAATGAAAAAAAAAATGAAGTACCAATGAAAACATTAGGAACAGTGGACTGTCCAGTCAGCCGCTCTAACACCTTTTGCAACTGAGGTCCCTGTGCGCCTGAGAACAGATTGGCAGTTAGTTACAGGAATATGAGAAGGCACGCATTGGTATGCAAAGCCATCAGCCTTGTAAAAAACTAGAATGTTTTTTTTCCCTTGTGGAGGATTGGCTCGAAAAGAGATTTACAACTTTAAAAGGAAGAGTAGAGAACATGAGTGTGGATGCATATTTGTTCCAATGTGTGGACAAGATAAACTGGTTTTAGGCATAAAAGTCCTCCATATGACATTTAATGGTGGTGTGTTAAAATTGCAAGCGGAATAGAAGCGAGTTAAATTGTGAGAGATGGAAGATGAAGTTGACATGCATACCGATAGGGTTAGTGTATTGGTATTCATAGACATGGAAGGAGCTTTTGCAATAGGATTAGTGCAAGCTGATTTTGGGTAAACTTGGTGCACTATTATGTAGCTCAGTTTACTACTCCAGTTTGCAGCTTAATGTTGCAATAGGAATAAATTTCAGGCGAATCCATGTTGATGTGCTTTCCATAATAAAAAGATTTCAGGCTTTGGCAAAGGAGATTCGTCCAATCGAAACAGATATATATACAGTACAGGGCATGAGGTGGAGAAGGAGGAGGATGAAGCGAACCGAGTTGGTCGAGCTCGATGACGTGCGGCTGGACGCCGATCCGCTTGAAGAGCGCCTTGACCTCCATGGAGTAGCTGCAGCGCGGAGAAGAGAAAGGTGTTGAGTGAGGAAAGGGGGGGAGGAGGAGATGTGGCCTGTGGGGGTGGGTAACTTACGAGCACCAGGACTTGGAGTAGATGACGACGGGGTTGTCGGCGAGCGTCCTCTTGACAGAGTCCTCCATCCGCGAGCCGAAGGAGGAATCCGGAGAGGAGGAGGAGGCCCTGGTGGCGAGGGACCTGGCGCGGCGTGCGGCGAAGGGGAAGCGAAGGCGAGGAGGAGGCGGGGAGCAAGAAGAGAAGGGGAGGCCAAGGGCGGCCACGGGAAGGCGGGAGAGGGTGAGGCTCCGCGGCGGCATTGGTGATGGAGGGGATAGGAGGGATCGCCGGCGGCGGATGGATGGATCGATAGGTATCTCGTCTCCGGCTCCGGCTCCGGCTCCGGCTCTTTCTCTCTTTCTCTCTCTCCACCGCAAGCAACGCAACGCAATCCCCTCTTTGATGGGCTGGGCCAATGGGCCGTGCGGTGCGGCCCATTGTAGCAGCCCAATTCAGACACATGTCCTCCTCCTGCGGTGCGGACACAAGACAGACTGACAGCGACTGCGAGAGACATCTACTAGTCTAGTCCCTATCACTCCACTCCACTCCACCACCAAACCCAAACCCTCACCAATGGCGTCTCCGCCGCCGCCGCCTCGCCTCCTCACTCCCAAGCCCGACCCCGACGCCCCCCTACCCCCGCTCCCTTACCCCGACCCCAACCTCGTCCAAAGCATGCTCTTCTCCGCCCAGTCCCCGCAGGCGCAGCCGCAGGCGCCGCCACCCCACATCCAACCCCCCGCCTCCGCCTCCGCCGAGGCCCCCTCCGGCGACGAGAAGAATAAGAAGAAGAAGAAGCGGGCCCGCGCCTCCCAGGAGATGGTGCGCATCACCAACCTTAGCATCGCCGACCACCTCCACTACCGCTCCCTCGTCCGCCGCGCCCGCCTCACCTTCGAGGCCCTCCGCGCCATCTACCAACGCCAGGACCTCGCCACCGCCGGGGGAATCCGCAACCGCTTCGACCTCCGGGCCTCCAGCAAGATGCTCTCCAAGGGCCTCTGGATGCACCGCGACATCCGCACCGTCGGCTCCATCCCCGGCCTCCTCGTCGGGGACTCCTTCTTCTACCGCGCCGAGCTCTGCGTCCTCGGCCTCCACACCGCCCCTCAGGCCGGCATCGGCTACATCCCCGCCAGCATCGTCGACCAGGGCCACCCCGTCGCCACCAGCATCGTCTCCTCCGGGGGATACCTCGACGACGAGGACAGCGGCGACGTCCTCGTCTACTCCGGCAGCGGCGGCCGCCTGCGCAACCGCCTCGACCACAGCGCCGACCAGACGCTCCAGCGCGGCAACCTCGCGCTCCACTACAGCTGCCACTACGGCATCGAGGTGCGCGTCATCCGTGGCCACGCCTGCGACCACAGCCCCAGCAGCAAGGTCTACGTCTACGACGGCCTCTACAGGGTTGTCACCTCCACCTTCGGCCCTGGCAAATCCGGCCGCGACGTCTGCAAGTTCAAGCTCGTGCGCATCCCTGGCCAGGACGACCTCGGCAGCAAGGCCTGGCATACCGCAGCGGAGCTCAAGGATGCACTGGATTCCAAGATCCGCCCGCCCAAGTACATCTCGCTCGACATTGCCAAGGGCAAGGAACCATTCCGCGTGCCCCTCTATAACAAGCTCGACGACGACAGGTCACCCCTCTTCTACGACTACATTGCCTGTCCCGACTTCCCCACCACCCAGCAGCTGCTCAAACGCCAGACCCAGAGGGGCTGCCACTGTGCCGAGCTGTGCGGCTCCAGGTGCAGCTGTGAGAGGAAGAACAGGGGGGCCGACGGCCCTGTGTACACCTCCGATGGCATCCTTCTCAGGGGACGCCCCTTGGTGTACGAGTGCGGACCCCTGTGTGGATGCCCCATGACCTGTCCCAACAGAGTCACACAGCAAGGGATGAAGCACCGCCTCGAGGTGTTCCGTTCCAAGGAGACAGGCTGGGGTGTCAGGACGCTTGACTTGATACAGCCGGGTGCCTTCATATGCGAGTACGCCGGCGACGTGCTCTCCTTGGACAGCCACTCAGGTGACGCCCCTCTGCCTCCGATGGAGGACGGGAGCTCCATCATCGACCCGACCAAGTTCCCCGAGAGATGGAGGGAGTGGGGAGATGCATCCGTGGTTTACCCGGACAGGGTACCCCATTTCCCCCTATTTGCAGGGGCGCGCTACCGACTCGACGTGTCACAGAGGAGGAACGTGGCTTGCTACATTAGCCACAGCTGCAGTCCGAATGTGTTCCTTCAATATGTAATCCGTGGCAATGAGGATGAATCCTACCCTCACATGATGGTGTTTGCCATGGAGACCATCCCTCCAATGCGGGATCTGTCCATCGACTATGGCTTGGACTAGGGTCCATGAGGGGGGAGGAGGGATCAATGGCTGGTAACTGGTTTTGGCGGGCTGAGGCAACGTTAGGAAGCTGCAAATGGCCCCACAGACAGTTGGCTCGTCTTTTTGGATATTTTGTAGGTGAGCAGGTATCTCTTTTTGGGTACCCATAGTGCTCTCATTTTGGGGTAACTAGGGTGCAATTGATGAGTTTGTTCTAGGATTGGCATGAATGAAGAACTTTGCTAGGTAGCAAAAGGGGCGCATCAATACTGCATCACTGGAAAGAACTATTCAAAACCATTAGTTGAATAAACTTTGTGTTAGTTTGCTTATTTATGATGATGAAAACATGATATATACATTTTTTAAGCTTGAATTGGTTATACATTTCATTTTGACATACAAAGTTCACGAGAGTATTCTGTTCTGCATGGCTTGACATTCTTTTGGATTCAGCCCATTAAAAGGAAAGAGAATAAAAGGAAATACTAAGATGGTTATAGCTGATAACGGTAGAACGAAATAGGACTTTTCTGCTTTTCTTATTATAGGACTGTTTTGCTTTTCTTATTATAGAGAAATATCGAGGTCAAAAGTTTCAGATAATCCCCCCAGTGTTATCCAAATATTCAACTGCAGTAGGAAGTTTGGAGCTGACCTACAGTTTGATTTTTTCCTGATTACAAGATGGATAAATGGTGTAGTTCATGAAATGAGTATTAAATACTACTACTACATTTCTTCGGGAATAGATGAATGTTTTGGCATGCATCTCTTAATTACTACTACCTCCGTCCCAAAATATAGTAGCAATATTTTGGCTATGTATCCGGACATACCCTTGTCCAAATACATAGCTGGTAGTTATATTTTGGGATGGAGGTAGTACAAAGTTTACAATTTTCCCCATAAGTACTGTAATTAATGTTCAGTCTTTCCAATGCCAACAAACCGAGGGCACAGGGCGTCTTCTATGCATGCTGTGCATTTCTTGGAAATGCACATGCAATTACAATAGCTAACAATAACAGAGTAATGCATTGCTTAAACGGGGGTACTTTATGAAAATTTTACCTAGAAAACGTAAGACATAAACTATTGGAGAACAAAACCAATACTCCGAAACATCATCTAATAAAGAACGGAGGTAGTATTTATTGAGTTAATTAACATGTGACGTAGCCCAATGGAGACATGAATAGTTTTATGTGGGGACACACGTAAATGTGACGGTGGCAGCGTGCAGCATGCGCGGGAAGGTTTTTATGGCTTGCAATCAAATTAGGGTTTCAGTTAGTTAAAGATAAGAGTTGTTAGTAGTTAATGTTTCCCTTCAATTAGCAGATTAGTTCAATTTGTAAGCCTATATATGGGCAGTTCGTTCAATCAATAAAGCAGTATTATCCCTAACCCTAGTTCATCTCCACCATCAGGGCTCCGGGGCGGCAAGGTGAGCAGCCTCGCCCTCCCGTCGAGCACGCCTACGCCCTTTTTAGTCTAGGGCCTCCTGCTCGCAACATCGTGACAACGGTCGCAGTTGAGATGCTAAAGGAAAAATAGTTGGTACTGTGGTTTGTGTACAAAGGCACCCAACAACAACCAAATACCACTTCATTGCTTTTCCTTGCAAAAGAACTATTTAATGGTCTTGAGAAAATTATTGTTTTGTTTCCTCTGCAGTGGTCCATACAACAGGCCTGCTCTGTTTTAGCCAGGTAAGAGATTGGTCGCTTGCCGTTTCTGAATTTTTTTTTTCATAGGGGCTTGTGCCTACAGCTTCTTACAAATTCATGTTTGTATTTAACACGTCTCCTAGTCTCTGGGATAAAACAAGGTAAGAACCTTGCTTCCATTTTATCCATCTATTATTCATGCTGATCATACTTGCTAGAATGGAAGCAAGGTTTAACCTTTCTAACCATGCTCTCATAGGATGCTTGATGGAGTTATTGCAGAAAAAGGTGTGAAGCTAACATTATCATCATGTAACTTCAATATCTTACCTTGTTGAGGTAAATCCGTCTCTTGTGCACTGCACACTATGCATCCTTTACTCTGCTATTGTTGCTAGCTACTGTCTCTTGTTCTCCTGCCTCTCTCAACATATACAAGTATATGGGTGATGATAGCAGATATCTCCTGTCTTATTTGAACATGAACTTAGGAGTTGTTTGATCCAGTGCATTTTTACCTTATCCCCTTTCTTGGGAATCCGAAATATGTTGGATAGTATCTAGTTTGGTTTAAAAGGACTCAAAATTAGTGTTAGACTTTGACTATTCAACCTAGGTCAATTTCTTTTCTACTTCATGTACCAATGGATACAAAATTCACTACAGTAATGACTCCAAAAGCAAAGCAATGTCCAATTAGTCTATTATATGCTATAAACAAAGAACATCAAACCATGATGGCATGATAGTTTATCCATACCTTTTCTCTTCCTGAGTAACTCTATCAAAACCTCAGGGTTTCATGGTTTCCTTTGACAGACAGCTCACAGCTGGTGTGAACTGTGAAGTTCTCTTTTTTTTTTTTTTTTTTGCACAGTGGATTGTCAAGTGCATGGTGTTTACCTCGCCTAACTGTTGTTCTGTTCTATTTGTACTGTTGACGTTTTGCCCTCACAATAATCCAATGCCAATACAGCCTTTTGAGATCAGTAGAGAAGTATCTTGGTTTGGAAACATTTTATGGGCCTTGGGACAAACTGTGGTAACTACTAAATGATCACAGAATTAGTTGATCTTGAAATTTGTAATTACTGTGTTGCATGGAAGATATATTAGAGATTTGGCTTAAAATAAACATTCTCAGTGGACAATGATACTCATGAAGGACCTGATAAGTTTTTGAAGGCTGCAAGCACTGAACCAAGGAGGCAAGGATTGTTCTGCACATTTGGAATTTATGCAAGACAATGTGGAACTTTAAATAATCAGCAACCCATTTTCAGTTATTAAGGCATAGTTTTATATATTCAATATGACTAGAAATATTGCTCAGAAATCAGGAGTTCAACAAGCAGTTTAGGATATAAAGAAAAAACATATGGGGCCTATCATGTTACAGTGCTTTTCAGCTATTGTTTTGCAAATTTTGATGTGTGATAGTGTTGTATAACGTCATTTCTTTGCAGGTTCACTCAAAGCATTTGGATGGAAATATTGAAGAGGCAAATTTACCTTTACGTCTATTCTCGTGCACAATCCGTTCTTTTCTTACTACCTATTTTTGCCAGCTTGCAGAGGATCTAGTTGATGTTATTGCTCTGCTGTGTGATAGGTAAACTTTTATCCTTTGTATAGCTGTGTTGCCAGAATTTTTCTTTCCAAAATTTTCCATTCATGACAAGCTTAAGCCCTTACTAGTACCATTCTGTATGACTGTACCTGTTTCGCCCTTTGGCCTTTGCAGTACGGCTTCCATTATTTTAAATATGAATAACTCTTGTTATAGTGGATAGTCATATTTTTGAAAGAACCATTTGGTCTCTGGCTCCGTTGTTCCCTCTTCTCCTTGTCTCTTCCTTATACCTTACAAAGTCTGGAACAATACTGCAACATAATCTTGCTGACAGGCTGGTATAGTTGTGTTGCATCCATTATCCATATATTACCCTGGCATCTTCTAAGTCCATAATTAGAGTAAGTATATCTGGAGTTATTATTTCGAAATTGACAATGTTTCAGAAAATGGACAGGTTTGATAAAATGTTGATTTATTCTCATAGGTCTGAAAAGGATCAAACCTGAATGGACTATGATATGTCCCTTTTGTTCCAGTCATTTCCTTTCTCATTTGCCATTCTAATGGTTTGGTCCCAGAGATAATTAATACAGAGTGGAATGCATGGAGGTTGATTGTAGCCAGTTTCTGTTGAGAAGTAACTGATTGTATTTTTCTGATCGTAATGGTATTATGGCATTCATTTAGGAATGTTTGGCGAAAGGAGATGCTCAGCCTGGTAAACGGCTTCCTGGAATTTACTGATTACACCTACAACTAAAAGCGTAGTACATGTCTGCTTAACAGGCTATGAATGACTACTTCTCTGCAATTAAAATTTATGATATGATACTAGTACTAGCTAGTACATGTCTTGCAGTATGATGTGATTGTGGCTATATCCTTAATTTTCAGGGCGTCAGGCAACCCATTTGTTGAGAGTTAAAGCTGACGATGAAGCAAAACAGGGCATGAAGTGAATCATTAGATGTTGAGGTTTGTTGGCAATGTTCTGGCCTATACATGCTGAAACTGGTTAGTGATGCTCAATCATATTCATATATATAATAATGATCGAACCGGTCTCGTATGTAGTAATCCACTGTCTTTATTGATCTCAGACTGAACGGAAGGGCCTGGAGTTTGGTTGCTACTCTATGGATTGTCATACGATACGGAATTACCTGCATATGAACGGGGCATGAGGATTGGGGAAAGCAAAGGTACATGATTTATGTGCCAGTGGGAACATGCATGCTTGATGCTTGTTTGTCTTTTAACAGTTGTGAGCTGTTTGGTTTATGCCTATGTACTACCATATGTAGTACTGTGGCGCATGCAATGCGTGCATTATATACTAGTTTACATAGTTGCCCATTCGCGCCACTTTAACCATCCTCTATATTGAATGCTTTTACATGTTATTTGAGGGTTCATTTGTACTTTTTTCAAATAACCGAAATGTAATTAGATGATTAGGATGCATTTATAAATTAAATAGTTTTTATTAAATGATTTGAGGGTTCATTTACAACAATATTTATTGGTTGGTACAATTAGAAATAAATGTCCTGGAATTAAACAAAAAACTAAGTTCCGTGCAAAATTTGCATATCATGGGTAGGGCTTGGCTGGCCTTTCGAGTAATAATGAGCTGAAATCCAACATATCTCGGTAGTCTAATTAGAAGGCGATGTGTCAGGGCATTTATCATAATTAACATTTTTGTGATCAAATAGTCGTATGTGCTTTTGTTTATTTAGGTGTGAGTTTTTATTGAGTTGGTGTAATAATTGGCTGCAGCTCTTTGAGCAAAAGCCGGGATTATATTCCATTATCTAAAAAAATCATAATTAACATTAAATATCGGATACAAAATTTACATAATTAATAGGAACACTTTGAATTGTTTAGCTTATATATAATTTCTGAATGTATTAGAGAATAAAATAATTAGGAAGTATAGTTAGAATGCAAATATTTTTATTTTTTATTTTGATATGTAATAAACAATATTACTACAGCAACAAATATTTATTATAATTTTATCCAAACCTTATATTCATATGTTACTATTATTTTTCACCATCTTCATCGCAGCAGCATATAAGTCGTTGCCTTTTCGCCATCTCCGCCACAGC